GGGAGGGAGGGAGGGCCCTGGTGTAGGTAGTTTTCATTCTGAAACTTTTGCGGAAAACATACCGTGTATGATAGTACCTAAAGGGATGCCATTAACCTCTCTTCCCAAACTCCAGCAGCTTCAAATGACCCTGTGACAAATCCCATGTTGTTAACTGTTTATGCTTGCAGATGACTTGGGGGATCTGTTGAGCGGCTCACCTTTGTCAGTCGTGTTCTTGTCAGTAGAGTAATCAGATGACATGCTGCTTTCTCTTGATGTTTTCAAGATGCTTTTATTTTTATATGCATGAGCATCTTGCCTGTTTGTGTATATGTATACCACATGTGTGCCTGGTGCCTGTAGAGGCCGGAAGAGGGTGCTACCCTGCCTGGCCTTTTCTCTTGATGATTATAGCTGTTTATGTTCCTGCCTTCAAGGTTATACTGTAGTTTTCAGATGATTCCTCCCAGCCTTATTGCTTACTGTGATATGCTGAGTTTCTTCAGTATGTTTGGTTTTCAGGCTGTAAACTGTGGGAGTTTATAGTTAATTACCACAAAGGAATCTTGCTCCTGAGATGTCCTTCACTCTGACTTGTAAAATGCTAGAATCTTACTGATGCTCGTTTAAAGCATTATTAACTTTAGAATACCCAAATAAGAAGCAGCAAATGGCTCTTATGTGCTAAATTAGTGTTGAGACTATATTGAACATACATGACTACTGGGGAGCCATTTACTCAGAATCTCCCTGTAATATCTACTGTGGAAAACTGGGTAAGTCATTGTCTTCTCTACAGTATTAGTTTTCAGTTGGTGGAGATAGAGATTTTTCCACCCTGAAAAGAAATAAGACTTTTGAGGTTATTTACTCATGTACTGAGCCTTACTCTTCTCATTATTGTGTGTCCCTTATAAAATTTACACTCATAAAAAGACAGTCATTGATGGCTCACTTAAGTACCCGTGGTTACACCTGTGCTATATTTCCATTCCTTCTTCTCATTCTTTAAATAGCAATTTAGACATTTCAGTCTATAGCATTGTATAGAAGTTCTGAGCCAGGCACTAATGACACACTGGTGGTCCCAACTTATTGGAGGATGGATCAGGAGGATCCCTTAGTATGGTAGTTTGGGATCTGCGTGGACACCATGCCCTGTTGTAGCACGGATAATTAAAAAACCAGAGTCAGATATTGGGATTCAACCCGAAAACCAGAAAAGCAAAGCACCCAAGCCACTACCAAGGCTGGGTGACCACAGACTAAGCCTCTCTCTCCTCCCATTTTATATTCCCTCTAGTGCTGGGGTTAAAGGTATATAACTCCCTAGTACTGGGATTAAAGGTGTGAGATACCACTGCCTGTATTTGTTTCTGCATTGATCTGCATTGTGGCCTTGAATTCACAGAGATTCGTCTCCCAAATCCTGTGATTAAAGGTATGTGTCACCACTGCCTGACCTCTAGTGGCTTAGCTTTGCCCTTCTGATGTTTAGGCAAGCTTTATTTATTAAAACATAAAGAAAATGTCACTGTACCCTGTTTTCTGTCTCTCCTTCTCCACCATTTGTCATATGAATAAGGCACTCTAACATACATTTATTCCTTCATTAATGCAGAAAATATTAATGGAAAGTCTTCTGTAGATCAGGTATTATTTGCAGGCATCAGAAATCCATTAGTGAGTCATTCCCTTTGGTAACAAGGTATGATTTTACAAACCTTGTGGGTGGGTATGAAGTTTAAATTCGTCTGAATCACACATGTGTGCATGCAGAACTACACGATATCAAATAATAAGAACTCAGTAAATACAAGCTGTGGTCATTATTTTCACTAGGAAGGGAGCTTTAGTTGAGTAATTGTCTAAATCAAGTTAGCCTGTGGATATGTCTGTAGGAGATTGTCTAGATAATTGATAATGCCGCCACCATCCCCTAGGCACAGGGGTTCCTGCATCATGTGAATCAGGCGAAAGCCGCAGAGATTCACCCATTTCTCTCTGCTCTTGACTGGATATAATGTGACTAGCTGCTTGAGTTCCTGCCTTGACTTCTCTAAGAACTCTGAACTTGGAATTGTAAGCCAAATAAACTCTTTCCTTCCTGAGTTTCTTTTGGCCAGCCTGTCACAGAGACAAAAATAAAACTAGATCACTTGTATAAATATATTTTTGTTTTTCTCTTACTCTTGTAGAAGAAAATATTCTGGTTCTTTTTCTTTTCGTTATGTTCACTTTCCTAGTTTGTGAATAGAATTGATTCCAGAAAACAAACATTATAAATAGGATGAGGTCAATGGAATTTTCTAGGCCCAGTGAATTTGGAAATTATTTAGTAACCCAACTTAAATTCTGATAAGTTTTTAATCCAAGATAATGGTGCTATAGGCAATTTATATCATCATTAATTTCAAGTCCGAGTGAGCCTCAAAAACAGAGATCACTGATGCATAAGATGTTGGTAGAATGTATTTGGAAACTGACTTGATTAGAAGATTTCAAATAATTTAAATGCATGGGGTCAATGGAAAGTGATCAGCTTGGAGCCGTGGCAGCAATTTGTGTACATATTTTAAGCTTCTTTAGTTTAAAGTTTGGGCGACAACTGAGTATTCTAAATGTGTAAATATGCTGAAAGGACATGTTGACATCTAGAGTGACTTAATGAGGTTGCTTCTCTCCTGTGTTCCTAAGCTGCTTGTGTTTGAACACTTTAGGTCATTTACAGCAAATACACTGACCTGGTTCCAAAGGAGGTTATGAATGCAGATGACCCAGACCTGCAAAGGCCTGATGAAGAAGCTATTAAGGAGGTAAATAGGAGTTGGTATATATGATTATTTTAGATAACTGTATGACCTTATTAATTTCCAACTGCTTAACATGATGCTTCTTATCTCAGATAACAGAGAAGACAAGAGTAGCCCTGGAGAAGTCCGTATCGCAGAAGGTTGCTGCAGCCATGCCAGTTCGTGCAGCTGACAAGTTGGCTCCTGCTCAGTATATCCGGTATGCATCTTGCTGGACGTATTAGTTGTGTGTCGATTCCATAGGTGGGATCTTGATGACTCCCACCAGCTTACAAAGCCAGTTACAAATGCATTGTCTTAATGACTTTTGTTTGCAGAAGGGTTTTTATTATTATTTTGCTTTTAAGATCTATTTATTTGGTGTATGAGTACTTTATTTGTATATATGTCTGTAGGACAGAAGTTGACTCTGAATCCCATTATAGATGGTTGCTGGGAATTCATCTCAGGACCTCTGGAAGAGCAGCTTAACTATTGAGTTATCTCTCCAGCCCCAGAAGTTTTGTGGGGTTTTTTGGTTGTTGTTGTTGTTGTGGGTTTTTTTTTTTTTTTTTTTTACCTGAGTTAAGATGTTAACTGTTCTAAGCTAGATAGGGTGTACCATTCTTAAGCAATGTCGTGTGACTCTCTAGTGAGACCCTGCCTCAAAACCAGATGTTAGCTGTTGTGCTCTTCATATGACTAAAATGATAAAATCAAGGTTTGGGGAGTTTAGATTTTCAGTGTTTTAGACAATAACCATTACCTATGGTATATGACCTAAACTACAATTGCTTGGAGTTTCTAGTTATATTTAGTAAACATTTATAGTGCTGCTAACTGTTGAGGGCCTTCACTGGACTGTCTATGTAAGGAATGGTTGAAACTAGATATTAAGGGAAAACTTAAGGCTTCCGTAGGCAGAGGCTGCACGTTGGTTTCCTGGCCGCCCAGACCCGAATAATCATACAAAAACTATATTAATTACAACACTGTTTGACTAATGGCTCAGGCATATTCCTAGCTAGTTCTTACATCTTAAATTAAACCATTTCTATTGATCTATGTATGACCGCAAGGTTGTGGCCTACCAGTAAGGTTCCGGACGTGGCATCTGTCTTGCTTCGCCTTCTTTCTCCCAGCATTCAGTTTAGTCTGCCTCCCCACCCCCTGCCTAGCACTATTCTGCCCTGCCATAGGCCAAAGCAACTTCTTTATTAACCAATGATAATAAAATATATTCATAGCATACAGAGGGGAATCCCACTTCAGACTTCTGCTACAGTTTTTACAACATACACTGCATGTTGCCAGTGGGCATACTACTTATAATTATTTTTTCCTTTAAAGAAAATGATTCATTTATTTATTGTTATTTTTTATGTATGGGTATTTTGCCTGCATGCCCAGTGCCCAACGAGGCCAGAAGAAGGAGTTGCAGGAACCGAAGTTGCCAGCAGTGGTGAACTGACATGTGGCTGCTGGAATTGAACTCTGGAAGAGCAGCCTGTTGTTCTCTTAACTGCTGAGTCTCTCCAGCACTGGCCATTTTTTTTTTCCATAATATAGACTTAAAAGTAGGTGCTAGTTTTAGACCTGCAAAGCTGGGCAGGTACATTTCACAGGTGGGATGTGGAAAGGATGAGGAGGGAAGTCACTAACCACTTGAGTGCACGTTTTGTTTGATTTGGTTTCTATTTCTTCTCTGTTCTGCTTCTGGCTGCCATGCCTAAATGTATGGTTATTTTACATCAGTACTTCTGAAAAGAATTGGAAGTGTAGTCACATGGAACTATATAATAGAAGATAAATGCCGAACAAAAAAAATTGAACTAATTACACCTTTAATTTTCATCTACTTTTCTTAGCTATACACCATCTCAACAAGGTGTAGCATTCAACTCTGGAGCTAAACAGAGAGTTATTCGGATGGTAGAAATGCAGAAAGATCCAATGGAGCCACCAAGATTCAAGTAAGTATCTGGCTTCATGACTACCTTAATTATGTTTGTATTACAGTGACTAAACACCATGACCAAAAAGCAAGTTTATTTGACTTACCTTTCCACATTGCTGTTCATCACTGAAGGAAGTCAAGATTCTGGAGGCAGGAGTTCATGCAGAGGCCACAGAGGGGATCTGTATACTAGCTTGCTTCCTGTGACTTATTCGGCCCACCTTATAGAACCTAGGACCAACAGCCAAGGGATGGCACCACCCACCATGAGCTGGGCGCCCCCTGCATTGATCACTAAGTAAGAGAATGCCTTACAGCTGGATTACAAGGAACATTTCCTCAGCTGAGACTCCATCTCTGATGACTCTAGCTTGTGTCAAGTTGACACACAAAACCTTACCTAGTACACCAAGGATGAAACAGGAAGAGTGTCCCACATGTTCATCAACAGGTGAATCAGTGAACAAACATTAGTACATCAGGACCTGCAGGACTGTTGGGCCAAGAAAAAGAATAAACTATTGCAGTAACATAGAAGAGTCTGAAAATGAGTGTGCTACATGAAAGAAGTGAGACGAAAACAAGTTATACAATGTTAGGGCTCTGTATATAACTATGGAAAATGGGGTCAACAGGAAGGCTCAGGGGTTAAAGACAATTACTGCCAAGTCCAGTGGCCAGAGTTCAGTTCCTGGGAATCCACTCATTCAGAGTTGTTCTCTGACCTTCATACTTCCTAGGGTACATACATGCATTCCTCCCCCACCCACAGAGAGATAATAAATTAATCTTAAAAATTCTAGAAAAGGGCAATTTTATCCTCAGTTACAGAAACTTGATCAGCGACTGCCTATGGAGAAGCAGGTGGGAACGGAGAAGAAAAGGGGTAGGCACAAGGCACAACACGTGTAGAAGTTAAGATGGTGAGGATGCTCACTTGTCTAGATTGTGTTACCTAGGTGATGGGGTTGTACGCTTCATGTTTAACTCACTGTGTGTCAGTTACATCAAGCCATGAGTGTGTTGCCCTGTGCAGTGGTAACTGATATGAATGGTGACAGTGGCCACATCTTATTAGCTATCAAAACCATGAGGTGTCCCACGAGCATTCATCATAACAGAAACTTAAAATGAGAAGGGGAGGCTTAGGACCTGATGACCAAAAAGCAATTGAGGACTTTATGCTCTGATTATTTGTTTTCCTTTGATATATTCTTTAGGATTAATAAGAAAATTCCTCGGGGACCACCATCTCCTCCTGCACCTGTGATGCATTCTCCTAGTCGGAAGGTAATCCTTGTGATTTTTAATTTTATAAAGAGCCCTTCTGCCTATGGGTACATGTCACCATGACGGTTAAACTTTGTTTTACAAGATCAAATATGGACCCGGTTAGGACTTCAGAATAGTGTGCTTATGAGAGTGTTCGTAAATACTTGCTGTTTTACCGCCAGTGACTTGGCCTCTGCTCTCAGTGGATCTGCCTGGCGTGCAGAAGTATGGGATTTCATTTGAAAGCAGCTGCATTGCCCCGCCCCTTCAAGTCAGGCACTTTGAAGTATGGAAAGATACCGCCCAGCATTTCAGTGATCTGAAATCTTCTCCATCTTTCACATTAGCTTTCCATGTGGCTAGAGTCCACTACACGGAACAGTGCGCACTGCTACCAGAGACGTTGCTGCAGTTGTCTGTTCATGTAGGGGAGGATCTGTTTGGTTTTGGAGTGAGACTGTAATAACAGCTCTCCCTCACCTGTGTTCCAGATGACTGTAAAGGAACAGCAAGAGTGGAAGATCCCCCCGTGTATTTCCAACTGGAAGAACGCAAAAGTGAGTTGTTTTTGTTTTGTTTCGTCACTGGGTCTCTTAGGGTCTCATGGGAATTGTTCAGGAAGGAGCCACCTGGGATTTTCCGTGAAACGTTACTGCCTCATCTAAACATCCACAGTAAGAAGGTGACAACTGCCGCGAACAAAGCTCAGTGGAAGAGCTTACATTCAGCATGTGAGACCCGCTGCACCACCAAGACAGTGGAGACAGCTTCCTCGGATGGTTCAGTTACACTGGGCACTTGAATGCCGTGTGAATCTCTCAGGTGTATTCTAGCTATAAGAAGCACATGTAGAAGGAAAAATAACAGCAAAATACCCTATTTATTAAAAATATAATTCTTCATGATGGTCAAATCTCTAGTTAGAATTATTTTCAATAAAAATTAAACCATTCTCATTGTTCACACGAGAAAGGAGAACAGTGAGTGGGGTTTTCTCTGCCCTGGTTTCCAGTTATTCTTGTATGTAGCGTTGATGTTCACTGTGCTGCCAGGCATGTGTGGTGTTGCATGCGTGTGATCCCTGCACACATGAAGGCTACTCTGGGCTACATCACAAGATCCTGTCTAAAAGAGCCCTAAAAATAAAAACCTATTTATGGCAGAGCTTGATGGCATCCTTGAGGCAGAGAGGCAGGCAAGTCTCTGTAGTTTTGAGGTCACCCTGGTCTAATAGTGAATTCCAGGAAAGTCAGGGCAAACAAAATTTCTAAGTATCTCAGCCAACTGCCAGCTTCTCCAGGAGTTAGTAAGAATCTATAAAATATGGGATCCATTTCCTAATTCTTTATAGGCTTGGAGTTCAGTTCATGATTCACTTTATGGGTGAAAGCTGCAACTTTAAGCCATGAGTTAAATACAATATCACGTATTCATCCTTCACCGGAATGGCTATTACCATCTTACTTGGGATTCATATCTGTGTATCCCTGTGACATGTTGAGATGATTCAGAAACACTGTGGGACTTTGTTGTGGATTCTTTGTAGATGGGAGCTTTTTTTATATTTTTGGTTTGGTCTTACTCTTTAGCCTAGAAGATCTAGGCTGGTCCTAAAGTTATAATCCTACTGCTTCAATCTCTCAAGTGGGGTTGTAGACATGTACCCCCACACCTGGCCAGCACTGTTTTATGTTAGGAGACAATGGGCGTAAGATTAGTGTTTGGGAGAAGAGTTAGAATGCTGGGGGGAAAAAAAACCCAGGCCTCAAAGTCTTATGCATGTTCAGCATATTCTCTGGGTTACAGTGGTTTGTCTGCGTTCTTATGACTGCAGGTTTTACTTCTGTACCGGCTATTTGACTGTGGCACAGTGATTTTCCTTTTACCGTGATCCACAGTTATTAACACAGTCACTGTTTTTAAGCTTGGATTCTTGCATCTTGCTGGTGGGTTCCAGTCTTCGATCACCCACTTCCTGACTCTGAACTTAGCGCCATCACTCAGCACTCTAACCAGTCTTCCTCTGAGGTGGAGAGTGCTGTGTTACCAGCCTTGTGTAGTCACTAGGATGATTAGACAGTGGGCCTTCCGTGCAAAGCACGCACAGTTAGTTGTTTTCCATAGTTGTGTGAGAAGTGTGGGAAATAGCAATTTGAGTGGCTCTCAAATTGGGCATGCACTAGGCTAATGTTAGGTGGTGACTGTTACCTTGCTGAGCTGACTTGCCTTCTGCTTTCTCTTCAGGGTTATACAATTCCTCTGGATAAGCGGCTGGCTGCTGATGGAAGAGGACTTCAGACTGTGCACATAAACGAAAATTTTGCCAAACTGGCTGAAGCTCTATACATTGCTGATCGGAAGGTTGGTCATTTATAGTTTGCTGAATGTTCTTTCGTTTGTGAGCCCATACTTGTGTGCCTCAGGTACTAAAGAGACTAACTTGTGTGTGCTGATGACACACACTAGTTACTAGTTGAAGCTCTGCTCAGAGCCGCACCTATCAGTGGTGATCCCTGCTCTTTCACCGGCATGCCAGAGTAATGGTTTTCTGGGCTGACCTCATTCTGTTGAGACTGCTGGGTACTATTGTACCTTGCATAATTGTCTTCTATTTTAGATGTAGACAATCCCCAAAAGGACAGTTGTAGGAGAAGATAGGTAAACATTCTGATTAAATGCTGCATAAAGTAGCATTGATGGTATTAACTATTGATATTACAAATGAGTGCTGTATTAATATCTACACGTGCAGACAATAAGTGGGTTCTTGTTTTTTTGTTTTTTGTTGTTTTTTTTTTCTTCTTCTTCTAAAGTCTTAAAGATATAGGCTAAGGTTTTGTCTTAAGATGAAGTCATTACTTTGGTAGATTTTGGTTTCTTGAGACAGGATCTGAGTTTTAGGCTCAGGCTTTGCTGGAACTCATTGCAATCCTTCTGCCTTAGCCTCCTGAGTTCTAGATTGCAGGTAGGCACTATCCTATCCAGCTATTTTTATTTACCTGGTTGTTTACATTTTGAGACTGGATCTCATTGTGGTTCTTCTGTTTTGTTTTTGAGATAGGGTCTCTCTACATAGCCCTGGCTGTGTTAGAGCTCACTGTTATAGACCAGGCTGGCTTCAAACTCAAAGAGACCCACATGCCTCTGCCTCCCGAGTGTTGGGATGACATGTACCACCCCGCCCAGCGGATGCCAGTCTTGTTTTGAACTTGTGGACTCAGATGATCTTTCTGTTGGGATTACTGGTGCTCACTATTAAGCTCAGCCCGAATTTCATTTTTAGATTGTTTCTGAGAAAGCATTAGTAATGTGCTTGACTTATAAAATCAAATGGCATCACTGTAGTTGCGGCTACCAAAACATTCCTCAGAGACACAAGGCCAGCCTTCCAGAATCTTAGTCTTTCCAGCAGCGACACCCGGCAGACTTGAGGAGGCAGTTTGAATACAGCTGTAAATATTATCCTGTAGTAAGTTCCACTTCACGTCTCACCTCACCTAACAGGCTCGTGAAGCTGTGGAGATGCGAGCCCAAGTGGAGAGAAAGATGGCTCAGAAAGAAAAGGAGAAGCATGAAGAGAAACTTAGAGAAATGGCCCAGAAAGCCAGAGAGAGGAGAGCTGGGATCAAAACCCACGTGGAAAAAGGTATAACAGTCTCGTGTGGGGGTTTACTTGGTGAGAGATACAGATCTCATTTGAGAATGTCTCCATGGAGGGTCGGGGGAATGGCTGTTTTATAGTGTGTATGCATAAGAAAATTTAAAATTTAGATATTTCAGAAAAGTGTGCAAGTGGGGTGTGACCTCTTCCTTATTAAGATGAACTAGAAACAAATGAAATACATATTTGAAATGGGCCTTCCATTGGAAGTAACGAGAAATTCTTAGTCTTGATCAATTTACAGTTGGTCCTCTGTATCCCTAGGATCCTCAGCCACAGACTGAACTAGTTGTGAATTGAAAGTATTGAGTTGGGCAGTTGGCATCTTTACCCAAATTGTGCAGGCATCTTCTTCTAGAAAATAGGCCTGTAAGGGTCTTGAACATTCACCCATCAAAGTACACATGAGTTATGGGTCCAGGAACCAATCTCTATAGGCTATTGAGGGACAATTATACGTTTTTAAAAAATGTTTTTAGCATAGCCTAGCTGTCCTGGAACTTCATATATAGACCAGGCAGGCCTCAAACTCAAAGAGATCTGCTGGGTGCTGGGATTAAAGGTGTGGGATTAAACCTGACAATTATACCTTTAAATTTATGTTTATGCTATTGATAGACTTTATCAACTTTTAATCCCATTATGGTTTTCTTAAAATTTAGAAAGAAAAAGTAAATTCCCAACTAAATCAATTTGTCAACATTGTAAAATAATCTGGAGTTTTGCTAATTTGTAGATTAATGTATCTTCTAGTCATTAAAACTGCCAGTGTTTTCTGCCTGGCTTTATATAATAATTGACATTAGTGTATCAAGTCTATTCACGAGAGGAAAGATGAATTTCTTTGTTTCTCCCTGAGACATGGGTTCTCTGTGTAGTCCTGACTGTCCTGGAACTAGCTCTGTAGACCAGACTGGCCTTGAACTCAGAGATCTGCCTGCCTCTGCCTCCCAAATGCTGAGATTAAAAGAATGTGCCATTCTAGACCTACAGAACTATGTGAATTCATAATTCTAATTAGGAACACTAAATTTTTTTTTTTTAGACAGGCCTGTAGGACTTGGTTCATTCCAAGCACCTGGTGTGTGACATCTTTTTTTAGAAACAGATCTTCAGCTAGATGGTAGAACACAGTAAGATACAGCAGTCAGCATGAGTAAACACAGAAAGATAAGGAGGTCATCTTAGCCTTGTGTGGGGAGCATGCTTGTAATCCTGGTACGTGGGAGTTTGAGAAGGGGGGGTTGCAGATTCCTGACAGACAGAATTGGTCTTCATGGTATTCCAGGGCATCCTGAATACATAAGAGTTTGACTCAGAAAATCAGGAGAAAAAGGAGAGCAGGGTTATTTTTATTGTTGTCTTATCTGGGGGAAAAAAAAGTTTTAGGTTTTTTTCTAATCACATGGTAGTATACCTCTGCTCCCAGCACTAAAGAGGCTGAGACAGGAGAATGGAAAGTTTGAGGGCAGCCAGAGCTGCACAGTAAGAGCCTATGTCAAAAAGCCAGTCCCAGCACTTTGAAGGCAGAAGCAGGCAGATCTCTGAGTTTGAGGCCAGCCTCCTCTGCAAATTGAGTTCCAGGTCTGCCGGAGCTACACAGAGAAATCCAGTATCAAACAAACAAAACCAGCAAATGAAGTTAATCATGTGTATAATATAATGAATGAAGAAAACTAAAACATAAGAAATATAAAAGTGCCAGAAGAAAAGGGTTGAATAAACCTTACTTCTAAAATGCTAACATTCGTACAAAAACTTGGAAATAAACCATGTGGCTATCTTGGGAGAAGAACATTCTGGATGGAAAGATAAATGACTACAGGGGCCCTGAGTTTAGCCCAGGATAGCTGATTCTATATATAAGAGAGAGTCAATAGTCGGGGATCCAATCCAAAGCAGAAGGTCAACTCCACAACAGTCCTGTTGCTGTCGCACCAGTGGGCTCATCTTGCCAGACAGTCACTATTGTAATATGCGGGGTCCAGCATTTGGATAAGATCGCTGGTGGCTTTTGTGGCACTATGAAAGATGGCCATCAATTTTTTTAAAAAAATTTTTTAAAGTCTCTTTGCTTAGAGCTCGTGTCTAATGAGCTAGGCTGGCTGACCAGCAGGCTCCAACAAGACATGGTTCTTTCTTTTTTCCATTTGCTTAAAAGACTTGGTGTGGTATGCCTGTATACATGGTGGGGTGTGTGTATGTGTGTGTATGTGCACATTACATGCTCATATGGACACAAAAGGTTGACATTGTCATTGCTCAGTTCACTACTCTCTACTATTTAGTTGAACCAAAAGCTCACCAGTTGGCTGACTAGGTGAGTCTCAGACAGATAGACAGACAGACAGACACACACACACACACACCCTCCCCCATGTCCAGCCTTCTACCTGGCTGCTAGACAAGCAGGCTCAGCTCCTCCTCATTCTTAAACAGCAGACATTTTACCAGCGGAGCCATTGCCATAGCTCTTTCCCTTTTTCATAGCAGTTCCCAAGGAAGAGCTGAAAGCAGTGTGTGATGAACTCCCACCTCTCTTCCCCTAGATGTTGTGCTGCATTTAAAGAACAGCAAGCTGGACTGTGGTGGCACACACCTTTAATCCCAGCACTCGAGAGGCAGAGGCAGGCGAATCTCTGTGTTCGAGGCCAGCCTGGTCTACAAGAGCTAGTTCCAGGACAGCCGTGGCTACACAGAGAAACCCTGTCTCGAACCCTGTCTCGAAATGACAATTAGCATTACTGGATTTTCTTCTTCACCTGTGTGCTCACCTCTCCACCTCAGTCCAGCTTTCTACTTAGGTGCATTTCAAGTAAATTGAAGGCAGCTGACTTAGGAGTCCACAGTCCACAAACTAATTGGATTTAAATTGACTGCAAGTAACCTTAAAAAGCTGAGTGTGACTAAAAAGTAGTGGTCATGCATACCTGTAATCCCAGAAACAGGGAGGTGGGGATACGAAGATTCAGAATTCAAGGCTAGCCTTGGCTATATAGTAATACCCTGTCTCAAAAAATAGAAAAGTATGACATTTTCTATGGTTTAAAGAGACTCTTGTGCAAAATATGATTGCTAATGCAGTGTCGTAATTTTCAACTGTGTCCGCAGAGGATGGAGAAGCACGCGAAAGGGATGAAATCCGTCATGACAGGCGAAAAGAGAGACAGCATGACCGGAACCTTTCCAGGGCAGCCCCTGATAAAAGGTAGGTCGCTGCTTGGCATAATTGCAAGTTAGGGAAAAGGGCATTGTTGTGCCTAAGTTCTCGAGCTTGTTAATAAGTTAACAGATAACTTTGTCTTTACAGAATTGACTCGCCCTAGAAGGCAACCTGCTCTCCCATCACCTTGTAGGACTAATATTTAGTATGGAAAATGGTGGGGATAGGGAAAGGGAATCCAGATCAAAAGGAGAGAATGGAATTATTTAGGTGTATGCTTTTCTTCCTCAAGTGGTGGGGTAAGCTGATTGTGTGCCTGTGTGTAGATGAATGCCAGCCGTCATAGACTTAGTGCGTCCTTTCTTTGCCAACTACTGTGCCTAGTACAGTAGGAAGGAGAGCAAGTTTTGAAAGAAGATTCTGGACTCCTATGAGTAGTTTATTTTAAAATTCTGAAGAGTTTTATAAAAATGGGAAAAATTTACAAAAATGAAGTGGAACTTAATACATTTATAGGGACATAAAATAGGAATCTGTTGTTTCAGAGTCCAGAAAATGCTATGCTGCAAAGGTGGAATTCAGGGTTCAGTCTAAAGGCAAATGTGAAACATTTTCTTGCTATAAGAGCAATTTTCCATGCCCTAGGAGTTCATATCGTAAATCCTCTCTGCCAGGTGGTTCCTTGTTTAATTGGCATATTTCTTCTCTCTGGATAAGCTTAGTCAGGGAAGCAGAAATTGAAGCCATGTAGAAGAGAAAGGAATGAGAGAAGTATCAACATAGTCAGTGTGTTGGAGACTAGCTACATTGTTAAAGGACAGTGGCTCTGTGCAGAAATAGGGCTCTTCAAACCAGTAAAGTGGCTGTGAGAATTGATGATACAGAAAAACTGTGAACTAGTAATTGGGTGAAAATAAAATTGTCTACAGAAATATTTTAAGACATGAGCTTCTTGTAAAGTGGTGACAGTTACCATGGTTTCATTCAGATGTCGATTGCATTTACCAAAACAGCAGAGGAATTAATGTAATTTCAGAAGCCATACAGAGTAATCTAGTCACCGACATGTTTTCCTCAGGATGGTAGTAGGATAAAAATCACTACATACAGTTAGGTCAGAGCTGAGTGTGGCCTGCTGAAAAGGACTGCTGGTGTGTGATGCATCCAGTCTCTTGTGTGTTCCTCTGTTGATAGGCCCTAATTGGAGACTCCTGCCTACCTTCTCTAGTAATGCATCTGAAGTCTGAGAGCTGCTGTTGTAATTGTGCATTATCAGAAAATGTACGTTCCTGAGACAGAAACGGAGCATATTTATTTCTTTTGCTTCTGAGAGTGGTTGTATTTATATTACATATATCCATCTTGTCTGTAAAATGTGTTCATGTGTGTAAAATGTGATTGTATATTTGAAATAGGTCAAAACTACAAAGAAATGAAAATCGAGATATCAGTGAAGTCATTGCTCTTGGTGTGCCCAATCCTCGAACTTCCAATGAAGTTCAGTATGACCAGAGGCTCTTCAACCAAACCAAGGTATGAGGAACTTAGAAAACAAATTTATCTTGTATGTTGGTAAGGATGTCTTTTCTCGGGGTAAATAAAGTACATACTTTGGATTTGAATTAGCCAAGGTTATGCCAGAGTGATGACAGGAAAAATTTGGAAGTTGTGTGTTTTACTTAAAGACAAAAAATGAAAGTTGGACATGGTGGCCCACGTCTTTATTCCATTTGGGAGGCTGGACCTAAGAACACTTTTGATGGTGACTTCTGACAATTGGCTCTGATCTGAAGCACCAGTAGGCAGTGAAAGAAACCAGGTGATGGAACTGGACACTGCTGTTATCTACATCTTTTCTTTCTTTTTTGTTTGCTTGTTTTTGAGACAGGGTTTCTCTGTGTAGCCCAGGCTGTCCTAGAACTCAACTCTGTAGACCAAGCTGACCTCGAACTCTACCTGCCCCTGCTTCTTAGTGCTGGGATTAAAGGTGTGCACCACCCCCTGGTTTATCTGTTATTTCATAAAAGCACCTCTTGAATAATTTGTGGTGTGTTTTTTGTTTTGTTTTGTAGCCTTTCAATTTGAAAGCTTTTTAAACTGAAACTTCAGAGCTAGGGACAGAGCTCATTTCGTAGAGTGCTTGCTTAGCATGCCTGAATCATTGGGTTTGATCCCCAATATGACATAAACCAGGCGTGGCAGGTGTCTGTAATGCTAGCCTTTGCAAAGTAAAGGCAGGAAGATCAGGAGTTCAGGGTCAGCCTGAGGTGCATGGGACCCTGTTTCAAAAAATAAAAAATATATAAGCAAAGCTATGGAACTGGATTATTGAAGGTAGTAGACTGTCAGGAAATCACATTTCTAGTATTGGTTGTAATTAACCAGCCTAGAACAATTTAGTCATTTATTGCCGACTAATAACTTCCCATAAGTCAGTGAGACCAAAGATTCTTTGCCTTTGCCCTCAAAGAAAGAACCCTTCTGTTGAGTGTACACACATAGTATAGTGTCAGCTCTTCTAGAGATAAAATTGTGATTTGATGGTTTTAGAAGATATGAAGATAGCATTTGATTAAGTTCTTTATTTTTCCACTTTCATTTGTATGCTTGTTTGCATGCTAGGCACGTGTGTACATGCATGTAAGGTTAGAGGTTGATGATTGTCCATTATTAATCTTCCTCCCATCTTATTCTCTTATTCCTACCTTATTCTCTGAAGCTGAGATCTGCTGTTCCTATCTCCAGAGGGTGGAGTTACAGGCAAGCTACAATGCCCACTTGTCATATTCATAGGTTCTATGGATCCAAACTTAAGTCCTAAGTCCTCGTGGCTTATGGAGAAAACAGTAACACTGAGCCATCTCACCAGCCCTCATTATTTATGTTTCATAGGTAATTGAGACAGGGTTCAGTAATTAATAGAACTGAGATTTCAACCTTGAATGCTTTGATTCCAAAGCTTTTTCCTTAACCTCTGTGCTTTAAGGGGTTAAACGTTTTTATCTCATAACCTTAAGCTTAAAGCTTTTCAAAGTTGGGTAAAAATTAAGATTTTCATTGAGAGCCTAATTGTCTTGTGCTTTGGAAGAGATGTTCTCAGGCAGATGAGGTTACATTTATCAGCATTACTGTTGAGTACCTATAGGATAATCCTTCTACTTTAATGACATTGTTAGTCAGGTTTTAAAAATTAGTTTTGGAGAATTTCATATAACTAGTTTTTAACATATACACATATAATAAATACATTAACACATACATATAATACACATATAATAAATAAAATGTATAATAAATACATTTTAACATATTCATTTCCTCCCTTCAGCTCCTCACAGATCCACCCTACCTTCTCTACACACCCAGCTTTGTGTTTTTATCTTGTTGTTGTCTGAGACAGGGTCTTTTACATAGCTCTAACTATCCTGGACTTGATATGTAGACCACAGGCAGATTAATCAAACTTATTAATGAATACCTTAATTTAATATTAAGTCTCTAGGTAAGACTCAAATGTGTATGAACAAATTTATATATTTTTAAATGTTGTAGTATTATTTTTTGAAAATTGTCTTTAAACATGGAAGTGTTAATTTCTCACAAGTATTCAGATTCAGCTTTGGATACATTTTTATTTACTGTCATTTATTTTTCCACAGGGTATGGACAGTGGATTTGCAGGTGGAGAAGATGAAATTTATAATGTTTATGATCAGGCCTGGAGAGGTGGTAAAGATATGGCTCAAAGCATCTACAGGCCTAGTAAAAATCTGGACAAGGATATGTATGGTGATGACCTAGAAACCAGGATAAAGACAAACAGGTACCAAGACAGACAGCTGATTGTTCTGTTTACACCAGTAAAACAAAGGTAGCACATGACCTCTTCTCTTTTTCCCCTAGATTTGTTCCTGATAAGGAGTTTTCTGGTTCAGACCGTAGACAGAGAAACCGAGAGGGGCCAGTTCAGTTTGAAGAAGATCCTTTTGGTTTGGACAAATTTTTGGAAGAAGCCAAACAGCATGGTGGTTCTAAAAGACCTTCTGATAGCAGTCGCCCTAAGGAGCATGAGCACGAAGGCAAGAAGCGGAGGAAGGAGTAGATAGGATCCTCTCCTGAAAGCCAGTGGACTCTGTTCAGACCCTGATGATGCAGATCATTGGGAAACTCTTTGTAAACCATCAGGATAAAAACCAAATCTGGGCGGGAGAGCCCAGCACTACTTTTTATTCCAGGAGATGGGGGGGGGGTGGATATTCTACTTTGGATTAGTTTTTTTTTTTTAAAGAATGGGTTATGTTTGTGCTTCTCCCATCGTGCAGCACTTATAGGAAATACTACCTGCCCCACAGAGAATTAAGACCACTTCTTGTATCTGACATTTTAATATTTTGTGTAAGAACTTTCTGAATAAAATTACCCCAAAACAGTGAGTTGGATAATGTCCACATACTGGAGCTATGCTACCAAATGTTGTGCTGTTTTACCTTGCAGTGGGGAAACTAAGGTCTTGCTTAGTGCAGCTCTTGTTTCAAATAAAAACATTTAGGAAAAAGGTCTCAGTTATATTTATTAATGGTTGTATAATAATCATTTCAAAAGTCTTTCTCTTCATCAGATGTTTGAGCCCCTTGCGAAACCTTTGGTTTCTGAGCTTGAACATCGATCTGCAGGGGCAAGAAAAAGCACTGTAAGGAGAGGTTAACATTGAATTTACTTATTTGTAAGAATACCATTTCGTTAGACTCATAACTGGTGACTCGGGAGGCTGCTGTCTTCCCTCTGATAATCAACTAAAACTTCTCAGTCAGGGAAAAGGCAGGATTGCAGCCAATTTGCCTGCATTGCTGTTTCCACCGCTCTGTTAATGATTTTATTATGTATGCAACAGTCTGCCTCCCTGTATGCCTGCAGGCCAGAAGAGGGCGCCAGATCTCATTACAGATGGTTTTAAGCCACCATGTGGTTGCTGGGAATTGAACTCAGGACCTCTGGAAGAACAGTCAGTGCTCTTAACTCTCCAGCCATCTCTCCAGCCCCTCCACCTCTCTTTGTTAAATACACCTGGAAAAACTTAACTATTCAAAGGGCCTTCCCCTTGGGGATGGTAGCTCAGTGGAGCATTCTGGGTTCAATCCCTAGCACCAAAAATAAAACAGGGTCATGGATTTTCCTCATCAACTTTGTAGGACACCAACTACTCTTTAAAAAGCAGCATGGAACACATCAACAGAAATCCTTACCTTTACGCCATCAATAATATGATTTTCCTGTTGTAGTGCATTCTGAAGTTCTTCCTGTGAAGAAAATTGAACCCAACCTATGCCTCTGTGAAAGCCAGTCTCTCTGTCCTAAAAATGAAAATACAATAGAAAAGAAATTCACTCTGAACTTGATAAAGCTTCCATGAGCTTCGTCCAGATAAACTACCAACTTTTTCATTTGCCAAAATCAGATCACAGACAATACTTAACAGTAACCCTTACTACATACCTTCCTAGTTAGCCCAGGCTAGATCATAGCGTTATTCTGCTTTTCTACTGGCAAGAGGCCATAAGGACAGCATTTCCTGTAACCTAGATGCAGATCACAATAACACTGCATGTGATATAGTCCAGAGTAAGCCACTAAAGGTTTTACTCAAAGGAAACTGACCACTGAAGTACTCGGGTTTTTTTCTTGTTTTTAATAAACTACTTAGGAGCTAGAAAAACCCTCAAATCTAGTTGCATATTGTCATCTCCGAATGAAGCTTGCTCATTTGTCATCACATGCTTTGTTTGTGTATGTGCCAGTGTAACTGCCATATGGGGTCCAGAAGAGGGCATTAGATACCGCAGAACTGGAATCACAATATGTAACTTAAGACAAAATACGGCAAAGATGATAAGACACAGCTCCCTGGTCAGGTTATATGGCAAAAGGAAATGGCCTATCACCAGTGGTATATGTGACAGTCTTAACACCATACAAACTCCTCTGCTGCCAAACGAACATGCCGGCATATGCTGTAAGCCCATCACTTAGAACTCAGACAGGATTGTGAGTTCAAGGATAATAATTTTGAGAACAGCTTGAGCTATATAGTAAGGTCTTGTCTCAAAAACACAAATTTTAAAAGGTTTTTGCCAAAAGCTAAAGAAATTGCTCAGTTGTTAGGGGCATGGCTCTTCCAGAAGACCTGAGTTGGATTCCCAGCACCAACATGGCGGTTCACAAGTGCCGTGTAACTCTGGTCCCAGGAACTGGGGGCACTGCACACACATGGTACACAAGCATACATGTAGGCAAACACCCACAATCAAAAATAAATACAATTTTAGGAGAATTTTCCCAACTACCTCAAGGAAACTTGGAAATCACACCTTCCCCCTTTTGAACCTCTGATGAAGACTATAGCCTCGACCTACTTCTCTATGAAACTCTGCGCAGAGAACTGAACTAAACCGTAGCCAGTGTGAGGTCATGTGTTGTGTCTATCCATTATGCTTGTGATGATACTATACAATAATAAGAATTAACATAAATGTCTATGATAAGCTGAACAAAGATTGCACTAATAGGCATGATAACCTGAAAGGTGGAGGGTTCAAGAGGCCTCAACCCTCAAAAAAAAAAAAAAAAAACACTAACTGCTGAAAGCAGGAGAAGCAATCTTCTCCAGGAGGAGCACACCAATTGGTTATCTAGTACAGAGTAAGTCAGCCCTGAAAACATACATATAAGTAATGCAGACTGAGCAAAGTGTATGTGTGTGTGACCATACAAGTAACATTATACAGACTGAGCAGGGTGTACAGGTGATGCATGAATACTTGAACACATGCCTCACACCAATTAAAAAAATACCACAGCTGGGTAGTGGTAGCACATGTCTTTAATCCCAGCCAGGTGTACAGAGCGAGTTCCAGGACAGACTTCAAAGTGACAGAGAAACCCTGTCTCAAAAAAAAAAAAAAAAAAAAAAAAAATACCAGCTGGTACCTAGGGGACAGAGGCAACTGGGTCTCTGAGTTCAAGGCCAGGCTGGTCTATAGAGCAAGTTTCAGGACAGCCAGGGTTATACAGAAAAACCCCATCTTGGGGGAAAAAAAAAAAAAAAAGATACCATGAATTGTAAAGTAAGGGGTGGTAACAGGATACATGGAAGGGGTTGGACAAGGGAAATTATGTAATCATAGCATAATTTTTTTTGTTTTTGGAGACAGGGTTTGTCTGTGTAGCCCTGGCTTATGATGAAACTCACTCTGTAGACCAGGCTGGTCTCAAACTTAAGAGATCCACCTGCTTATGCTGCCCAAGTGCTGGGAATAAGGCTTCCACCACCACCAACAACAACTAAAATTTTTTTTTGGTTTTCCAAGACAGGGCTTTTAATTAAATAAATATGTAGGATAAAGTATGCTTTAATCGGTATCACCCACAAGTTTATCAACAGATTTTCAGAGTTTCACTCCATTAGATATTGTATTTTATATGCTGATAAAAGAAAACAGGAATTAAATGATAATTTTCCCTTCTGGAAGTCTGAAATCAAACCCAGAGCCTCATACACACTACACAATGCTCTACCACAGAGATACCCCATTTCACCCCCCAATAGTTTTTGTTTTTGTTTTAATACTTACAAAAGGTACATTGCACCTTTTTATATGGCCAAACTGAGCAAAGTGTTCTCTCAGCTCACCTGGAAGGAAAGATAACAAAATAAGTTCTCTACTGTAGATTGTAGATAAAAATCTGGGGGCTGGAGAGATGGCTCAGTGGTTAAGAGCATTGCCTGCTCTTCCAAAGGTCCTGAGTTCAATTCCCAGCAACAACATGGTGGCTCACAACCATTTCTAATGAGGTCTGGTGCCCTCTTCTGGCCTGCAGGCATAAACGCAGACAGAATATTGTATACATAATAAATAAATTTTTTTTTAAAAAAAATCTGAAAGAGTTCAGAGTTCCTGAGCTTCTTTGCATTCCCCAAGTCTTAGGATTCCAAAAGCTACAGGAATGACTTTCTGTGAAGTGTGATGGGAAGATGGACAAACGGCTGAGCTGGCTGCAGGCCCCATCCTGAGCAGAAACTCTTCTTGCCACACCAGGTGCGGCGCTGGGTGTATGAAGACAGTCCCTGTAAGCGGAAGGCATAGTCTTCACAGCCCAGTGTCCTGCCAGATGCATTAGAAATCTCAGCCTACTGGTCTAACATCAGTCCTGCCTATGCTTCCTGCCTTATTTCCTTTCGCTGGCCTAGTTGTTATTGTCCATGACTGCACAGTGCATTCCGTCTTATCCTGTGGCTTCCCGTCTTTGTGTATGTGACTCTCTTCCATATGTCAGGACTCTCATCTCCTCTGATCTAAATGATAAGGGTTTTTTTTTTTTCCAGGCCGAACTAAACACCGCCACTGAGTATTTTTATTGAGCTCATACGAGAATACAATACTCTTCCTGTGAGATCTCAAAAGGTTCACAGTACAAGATCTTAAAGATAAAGTTAAAATCTTTCTCTTCTTCAGTGGTTGTGGGTTTACATTTGGATATTACTTGCTTATGTCCCTGTGATGGTTTGAATGAGAATAGCCCTCGAGGCTCATATATGTGACTATTTGGTCCACAGTTGGTGGAACTGCTTGAGAAGGAGTAGGAACATTGGCCTGGAGAAGGTATGTCACTGGGAGGTGGCTTTGAGATTTCAAAAGCCCACAACTTTCCCAGATAGCTCCTCTCTGCCTCATGGTTGTCAAGATGGGAGCTCTCAGCTACTATCCCAGTGCCATGGCTGCCAGACTGCCTGCCTGTTGCCAAGCTCCCACCACGATGGTCATGGAACCACCCTCTGTAATTGTAAGCCCCCAATAAACTCCTTTTAATTGTCTTGGTCATGGCATCTCATCATAGCAATAGAAAGTAAGACAGTCTCAAGTTAATCTAAGCATCACAGGTCCAACTGTATTGTCAGTCTCCACCACACCATTACACTACAAGCTGAACAAGGAGCTCCGTGCTTACAATGTGTTGCACAGTAAGGCTTCAATCATGTCTAAATGAATGAATAAACACCAAAAAAATCCTTCAATACTCAAGAGGCTTAATTTCTGAAAGGCTCTAATGGTCAAAAAGACCAGGGCCTCATAGAACACACTAACTGGGGCTTAGGCAAAAAAGCACCAAACATACATGTTTAAAACCAGACAGTACAAGTTCTAGAAAACACTTGCAATGGTATGGTTTGGATCGTTAATGTCCCTCATTGGCCCCTAAACTAAAGGCCTGATTACCAGCCTGTGGTGTTACTGGAGGTGGGAACCTTTTAGGATATAGAGCCTAGTGGAAGAATATTCTAGCAATTGAAGGGGCATGCCTTTGTAGGAACACTGGGAGCCCTGACCCTTACTCGTTCTCTCTTGAAGTAGACAGCCTCCTTCCACCTTCTACCCACACTATGATATACTATGCCAAGACAATCCCAAACAAGGCTGGGTGAACCCAAACTGAAAAATGGAATACAAATACCCCTTCCTTTACACTGTTTATGTCAGCTATTCTGTCAAAGCAACAGGAAGCTCACACACAAAAGAAACCACTTCTAGATTTGGTAAGCTTTTTACCAAATCACTTCAGGAGAGCATGCTGCAAATACTAAAAGCAATGCCATAGACACCATTTAAGTGAAAGGATGAACTGGGAAAAAAAGTCTCAAAGTTGCAATGCTATGGAATTTTAAGGATTTGAAGGCAGCCCTTATGGGGTGCAAACTTGAATCTACTAAATGCTGGTGAAAACCCTCGGCCTTTCTGTGAAGTTTAAAAGAATGTGCGTGGCAATAGTGGTGCACACCTTTAATCCTAGCACTTAGGAGTCGGAAGCAGGACGATCTCTATGAGTTCAAGACCCTCTTGGCCTGCAGAGCGAGTTCCAGGACAGCCAGGGCTGCACAAAGAAACCCCGTCTCCAAAAAGAAAAAAGACAGAGAAAAAAAAAAACCACCTAAGAAATCACTATATTCTGATCTATACATAAATAACTACCAAAAAAATCTTGTATTTTAAGTTTGGGCGAGCAAATTTAAAAATCTTTATTTAGCCAGGTAAGGTATTCAGCCTACAAGTAGGCTGGCTATAGGATGAGATCCTGACTCAAAAGCTGAAGAGGTGGTTCAGCGTTTAAATTTACATACTGCTGCGTTTAAACTTACTTACAGCTCTTACAGAGGACCTAAGTTCAGTTTTTTTGTTTTGGGTTTTTTTTTTGGGGGGGGGGGGTTCAAGACAGGGTTTCTCTGTGGCTTTAGAGCCTGTTCTGGAACTAGCTCTTCTAGATCAGGTTGGCCTCGAAATCACAGAGTGAATAGTGACTGCTGAGATTAAAGGTATGTGTCACCACTGCCCGGCGCTCCTCGTAAATCCCAAAACACAAGTCATCTTTGCTAGGAACCTGGAATGTACACCGTTCCCCTGAATCCAGCACGAATACTGTCCATTTTATCTTGAAAAACTACGCGCTTCGGACCCCTCCACCTTTACCAGTTCCCTAGTCCAAGTTTTCATCCTTGAACTGAATGAAATCGCCTTTTCTCTCATCTTCACCCCTACATTCTTGCCATTTTGAACCCAAGCTCCCCTGAGGTCAAAATAGCTCCCTCTGAATGGTTATGTCCAAGGAAGTAAATAATAAATCTTTTCACCAAGTCATTCCAAATCGCACCCTAAAAGCTCGGAGGAAATTTTCCGCGCAATAACTTGCTCAAGAGCAGTCATTTGTGTCCGCTGCAAAAAAAGAAATCAGCATGATCTCTGTGCAAGTATGGCACGAAACTCGTGAAGCCTTGCAATCAAAAGAGAGAAAAAGCACCTGACCTAACCCATCTACCATGCAGACTTCAGTTCTTTACAGAGTTTTAAGAGTTACTTAAACATAAAAACGCGCCCTTCCTCCTCTCCATCACTCACTCGACGCCGCGGTCCAAGGAATTTTTCTAACAAAGGCAACATGCTGACCAACACGCGCACGAAACGCCATTGCCCGACTCACGGCGGAGGCTGCCATGTTAAAAAACTGAATGACTCCAGTCCTGGGGTTGTGACCCCGGAAGTTACCTACCGGATCCGGAGTTCTGCTTCCGGATCAGACGGTTCGCAGCCTCGAGATGAAGAAGATGTCGGCGGCAGTGGCTTCGTTAGCCACGGTGGCGACGGAGCCCGGAGAGGACGCCTTCCGGAAACTTTTCCGCTTCTACCGGCAGAGCCGGCGGGGGACGACGGACCTGGGGGCGGTCATCGACTTCTCGACGGCACACGTGGCCCGAGGCCCGAGCCCCGGTGTGCCCAAGGTACAAAGGGAGGAGTGGTGCGCGCTGCCCCGCGCGCATGGCGTCCCGGTGGGCAGCCCGGCACGGCGATGGAGGGAACTTTTGCGGGCCAGGCCAGTCCGCCGAGCTGTTGCTCACCCGCGGTCTGCGGCCCCCATAGCACCGGGCCGCATTTCCCTCCAGCCGCCATTTTCTCCCCAACCCCCGCGGCCTCGCTCCCGAAAGTCTGGAAGTCTCTCGTCCTTCTTTTAACTGTCCATTAAAATGACGCTAACGTATGATTTTGTATAAAATACGACAGAATGTCCTGGACGTTAGGGTAGCTCCACGGCTTCAAACCTGCCGTCGGAGAAGTCTCAAACTGTTAAAGCGTTGGGCGTTAAGACTAGGCCTTGTCTTCTCTGAGGCTTAAAAGAGGTCATTGTAGAGTTTTGATATACTCCATCCACGGTTTAAAAAAAAAAAAGTCAAATAAGTATATCTCTTTAAGAAAATCTAAAGCCAGGCGATGGTGACGCACTCGAGATGCAAAGGCAAGCGGATGTCTGTGGTTCGAGGCCGGCCTGGTCTGAAAAAGTGAGTTTCAAGGCAGAGCTTTCTTTACCCAAGAGAAACCCTGTCCAGAAAAATGGGGCTGTAGAGATGCCTCAGCGGCTAAGAGCACTTACTGCTCTTCCAGGACAGCCTGGTCACACATAATGGGGTCCTAGCCACGTGTGGCCCAGGCCGCACAGCTGTCGTAGTAGGCAGCACTGGATTCGATTCCCCGTATCCACATGGCTGCTCACAGTAGCTTCAATTCCAGAGGATCAGACATCCATCCTCTTCTGACCTCCACGGGCAAAACACCGTGCACATAAAATAAGTTTAAAATAGACTAAGCAACCTACACCTATTTCTGTTTCTCCTTCCTAAGAAGAACGACAACGTACTGAGAAGGGGCCAGGGGGGAAAGCTGTATATTTTCCTTAGTCACGTTTTTTAAATTTTGGTTTTGTTGAGACAGAGTCTCATTCTGTAGCCCAGATTGCCAGCTAACAAGTTTGAGGACAGCCTGGTCTACAAATCTAGTTCAGGGCTACACAGAGAAACCCTGTCTTGAAAAATCAAAATGGGGGGGGGGGGGGGAAATACACATCTAAATTTAATCCCAGCGCATGGATGGGAGGCAGAGGAAGGCGGATCTCTGTGAGTTTGAGACCAACCTGGTCTACAAGAGCTAGTTTCAGGGCAGGATCCAAAACTACAGAGAATCCCTGTTTCAAAAAGAGAGAGAAAGAAAAACCAAAAGAAGAAAGAGAGTGATCATGTTTTCAGGAATGGTGGTTTAGACGTGTAGCTCTGGTGGAATGCTTGTCTAGCAACACAAAAAGGGAAGTTTTTTTGTTTTAAATCTGCTTATATACTAGTCATTTGTTGGAATTTTGTCAGGAAATCTCCAAGTGTGGAGGTTATGACTAAAGAGGGCAGTGGTGGCGCATGGCTTTAATTGCAGGAGGCAGAGACAGGAGCACGAGTTCCAGAACAGGCTCCAAAGCTACAGAGAAAACAAAAAGACAAAAGTCCATTTCTCAAGCCAGACGTGGTAGTCCTTTAATTCCAAAGCTTGAAGGCAGAGGCAGGTGAATGTCTGAGTTCCAGGACAGCCAGGACTTACATAGTGAGGTCCCTGTCTCAAAAACCAACAACATAAAAGAAGCTCATTTCTTTTTGAAAGTAAATATTCAATGTATGTTAAGGCACGCTATATCTATTATTTATGGAAGAATGAAGTGGGGTTTTTCTGTTTTGCTTTTTTCTTTATATATGTTAGCATATTGGATTCGGTTTTGGTTGTTTTGTTTCAGTTTTCGCTTCAAGTAATTTAGCTTAGTTAAAGACAGGTTTTTTTCTTTGTAGCCCTAGCTTTCCTGGAGTTTCCTTTGTACACCAGTTTGGCCTCAAACTCAGAGAACTGCCTGCCTCTGCTCCAGGGTGGTGGGATTAAAAGTGCGACACCACACCCATCCTGGGTCTCATCTATAAGACAGACACTATGTGCAAAGAAAACTTCATGAGCTCCTAATACTTAATTGTTTTAATAATAAAAGCAAAGTTCTATCATTAGTATTTTATTAACAGGTAACACTTAGAGCAAATGGGGTCCTAGAACTAACTTTCTTTGCGATTAGAGGACTCTCCATTTTCTCAACCACCTCCTCCTGATATTTTCCTATTGCAAGCTATAACAAATACCTCGGAAGCAGTGTTTTAGCACTAACCAGACTAAATAACATTATGAAAGTCCAAACCATTTTAGTCTCTTATTACCACTTTTCTTAATTTTGCAGAGCTATATAGTATTTGTTAGAATACAGATAAAGAAACCAAGGCCATGGGTCAAGTAGGTGGGAGAACTAATATTAAGAACCCCCCCCCCCCCATAGTAGAAAACTCTTCGAAGGTCTGAGGTTCTCAGGGTTGACCTCTAAGATGGCTTGCCCTCTGTATTATGTTTCTCTCCTTCCAGGTGGTCAGATTTCCTCTGAATGTGTCCTCGGTGACTGATCGTGATGCCTGTAGGGCAGGACTTCAGCCTGTGAGCAAGTGGCAGGCTTATGGGCTCGAAGGCTATCCTGGTAAGTACATGTCAGAATAAAATTACCCAACCATTCTGATTTCCTAGGAATAATTGGTGAATAGATAAACAGAGGACATACCTAAACATGTATTAATGTCCCACCCTGGAGCATAACCCATTTGTGCCTTCTCTGAATTACCTGTTTAATGCTTCCGAAAAATAGAGCAGCTCAGAAGTGGATGTCAGATGACTGGAATGAGAGTTACAGACGTTGACACTGGGAATCAACCGCTAGTTTTCTGTGAGAGCAGTTTATACTCTGAACTGCTAAGCATCTCTCCAGACACAGAGGGTATTTATTTTTGTGTGTATGACTTTTTCTACATGCATGTATGCACAACAAATGCAGACCTGTCTCTCCAACCCCTAGCGGCTGCTCTTAAACTCCTAACCTTTTTTGTTTTTTGAGACAGTTTCTCTGTAGCTTTGGAGCCTGTCCTGGAACTAGCTCTTGTAGACCAGGCTGACCTCAAACTCACAGAGATCTGCCTGTCTTGCCTCCTTGAGATTAAAGGTGCACCACTGCCCAGCTAAACTTTTAACTCTTAACTACTGTTTTCAAGGTCATAATTTCCTGTTGACCTGGGCCTTGGCAGCTGTATGAATTTTTCAGGGTGCAAACTTTTCCGGCCCACTTTGGTTTTGTATTGTCTGAAGTGATGTGTCTGCTTTTTCAGATTTTGTAGGACTTCATACTTAAGCCAATGTCTTGAGTTAGTGCTGCATTGTTTTTTTTAGGGAATTTCTTTGGCTTTTGAAGCCATTGTGAGCTGCATTTAAAAGAAGTATAATAAACAAAGTAATGGGAAAGTCACCTTTTAAAGTGATGAGGTTTTGTTTACTTCTTGATCCTACTAATTCTGAAGGAACTCTGTAGCAAAACCTGTCTTTATTGAAAGAAACAGGAAGAACTGGGTCTGGGAAAGAAAAGACTTGGGTGGGAAATGTAACAGTAGGCACCAAACATTTGAAAAGCAGTTACACACAAGAAAGAGTAAGGAGCAGTGGTTAAGGCATAGGTTCTGGTTCCCATTTATCTGGAGTCAGACCTGAATCTTCTGTGTACTAACTAGTGTAAGATAGATCTCTTCCCTTGCCCTCAGTTTTTTCAAGCATGAAGTGTGTATAAAAATAGGACCTGGTATAAGATTAGAATGAGCTGGAGAGATGGCTCAGCGGTAAAGAGCACTGACTACTCTTCAAGGGGTCCTGAGTTCAATTTCCCGCAACCACATGGTTACTCACCACCCCCTGTAATGAGATCTGGCCTGCAGGCCTACATGCAGACAGAACACTGTATACATAATAAATATTTAAAAAAAAAAAAAAAAGAATGGCTCAGTGGTTAAGAACGCATATTATTCTTCAGAAGGCTGAAGTTGAGCTCACAACTCAAATCTGCCTTTTACTCCACTGCTAAATACACATACACATGATTAAAAATAAATCTTTTAAAAGATTATGATGGCTCAGCAATTAAGAGCACTAACTGCTCTTCCAGAGGACCCAGTTCAATCCCCAGCACTCACATGGCAGCTCACAGCCGTCTAAAACTCCAAGATCTGATCTGACACCCTCACGCAAACACCAGTGCACATAAAATAAACATTTAAAAAAAAAGATTTTGATGGTTTAATTTGAGTATACATATAAAGTGCTTCAATTAATACCTGACATGTAGTAAGTTGTCAATAAATATTAACTGTGAAGTTGAAGGTATGTCGGTAAGAAAAATGAAAAGCTGATTTAGAACTGGCGTGGTAGTGCATGCCCTTAACCCAAGATTCTGAGGCTGGAGGGTCACTGCAAATACAAAGCCTGCCCAGGCTCTATAGCAAGACCCTGCCTCAAAGCTAGTAGAGTAGGGGATGGATTGAATCAGTTCAACTCCAATAACAGGATCCTTATCTCTAAAGCCAAGATCGGGGAGAAAACTGATTTGGAGTTCTGTGTGTCAGAACCACAAAACAATACAAATTAAAAGCAGATTAAAAAAAAAGTTTATTTATTATGTATACAATATTCTGTCTGTGTGTATGTCTGCAGCCAAAGAGGGCACCAGACCTCATTCCAGATGGTTGTGAGCCACCATGTGGTTGCTGGGAATTGAACTCAGGACCTTTGGAAGAGCAGGCAATACTCTTAACCACTGAACCATCTCTCCAGCCCCAGAAAAGCAGATTTTTAACCCATAAAAGAAGCTTACAGATAGAACACAGTGGTAATGTTTTCCTGGCATGCCCAGTCACCATTACCCAAAAAAAAAAAAAAGCCAGACAAAATAGCAAACACCTTTAATCCAGGAGGCATTCAAGGGAAGCCTGGTGTACAAAGGAAGTTCCAAGACAGCCATAGTTGTTACACCAAGAAACCCTGTCTTGAAAATCAAACAAAAAACAAGAGAATGCAAAAAGAAACAAAACAATTACAAATTATTTTCACCACCCTCCATCTTTTTGTAGGATTTATTTTCATCCCAAACCCATTCCTCCCAGGATGTCAGTGGCACTGGGTAAAGCAGTGCCTTAAGTTATACTCCCAGAAACCTAATGTGTGTAACCTGGACAAGCACATGACTAAAGAAGAGACCCAAAGTCTGTGGGAACAGAGCAAAGAGTTCCTAAGGTGAGTCCTAACAGCCAGAGGAAGATCTGAAGAAACAGTTTTTTTACAGATGCTGTAAAGGGGGTGCATTGGGTTTTAACCCCTCGTTACTGCACCGAGCTGTTCAGTTTGGAACATTCTTATCATGGCTTAAGAACTGAGTTAAAAAAAAAAAACTGAGTTCATCCACATTCATCCTCATGTGATCTGTTTTTATTCAAAGTGTGTTTCTTTAAGACTTGTATGGAAGATATCACCGGTAGCACTTGGCTTCTGTTCTGCATGGAGTTGCTACTGCTAGCTCTTGTATGATGGGTCAGTTGTTGGGCTTGAAAAAGCCAGTGTTTGGATCTTGATATTTCGGCATCATTCCACAAATACTCATTGGAGAAATCAGTTGGGTACCAGACATTGGAGACACAAAGCTTAATAGAACACTTTCCTTAGGTTCAGGAATTATGTACAGGAGTGATTACAGTAAGTAGAGCTGAGAAAATGTTAAAATAGTGGAAAACACTGGGGAAGCACAGGAGGAAATAATTCTTCCGAGTAGGATGAAATATCCAAGAAGAAAAAATGATTTTTATATGATTTTTAATAATTTTATCTACTAATCTATTTTTCCTTTCTATGTCTCTTTTTTTCCCTCTCTCTATTTCAGCTATTCTTCAAAATGATTAGGGATTTGTCAGACTGAGCAGAGTTAGTATTTAAGACTGTTCTGTGAAATGGAAGTACAGGATGCGTGCGTTGGGAGTGTTAGAGATTCAAAAGAAGATAGCAAACATCCTAGGCATATCCGTAGACCTTGTCTGACTCAGCTCGTGGCCAGGCAAGGGGGACAGCGTATGCAAGAGTAATTGGAGTTCATGCAAGTTCTAACCAGCTTAATCAGTAGCTGGGTGAATTGCAGTACTCCAACATTCTATCACCTGACAGTTTTCATGCTGGAGAGTGATATTTAACCTGTTTCTTTGTTTCAGTTCTAAAAGGGAAACCCAAAAATAGTTCCTGTCTTCTATGGTTTCTGTAAAGGGTGAAGAATAAAGGCATTTAAATAGATCCATAGGCAGTTACAAGTTTAGAGTTCACGCTTTATCTTAAGAGCAGTCATTTGCATGGCAAGGTGGGAATAATTATAGAAAATGATGGAAGTCATAGATAGGGTAGACAAAACAGTAAGTGGGCATGGTGGAAGAAGTAAGACTAATAAATAGAGCAGGGTTTAGCAATGTAGAGCACCAACTGTGGAGTCAGAGTGCCTGTCTGTCGATCCTCGCCCAGCTCTGTAGTAGCTGGATAACCTTGCACAGATTGTTTCAAACATTTTCTTGTTGATTTCTCTACCTGTATGTGAGAAATCCTTAGAGATATGGTTGAAAATATATCCTCTTGGTGGCCTATCCGCCCTTAGTACCATAAACCGTCATACTGATTCTAATGGGGGAAATAGAAGGCTTTCTTGTAGTCAAAGGTGAAAGAATTTAGTGGGTTTCCTTTAAAGCCTTCTAGGTCTGTAGCTTAAGGATTATTCAGGAGCAGCGGGGGAAACCTTTCCTGTTCTTCAGCTTTTAGAGCTGAGGGCATTGTAAGGGAAGAGCATGACTGAATGAAATCAGAGTGCTTAATATTATTACACCAACTTGCACTTTCAAATAATTTATTCTTTACCTTCTGATATATGACTATAAAAATCACAGCTGCCTTCTAAGATAGCTCAGATGAACCTCTAATATATCATTCAGTAGACAATGGGGAAATACATTTTTTGTCTAATAAATTAGCAAAAATAAAAATGGTGATGGTTATACCTTATGTTGTCAAGGCTGGAAGAAATTGATAGTCTGAGACTTTGTCCTGGCAGCATTGGAAATGGATTAGGTCTCTAGTACTCATCCTGTCACTGTGTGATTAAAGGTCTTGGATGGGCTAAGCCATCCAGGTGTTTGAGTCAAGGTCTGTCAAGAGTCCTGTGAGCAATACATGAAGCTCTCTCTACTTCCAAAGTCTGTCAGAGTAGAAAGGGTGTACTGTTGAGGTTGCTTCCCGCAGAGATTCTGATTGCCCCAACATGCTCCCACATTGAGAACCAGAAACAAAAACGCCTTAGATCCTTCAGCTTTTATCTCCTTAGAACTCTACGGTCATTTTGAATAGGACACAAAGGTGTGTATGGATGGACTAGAAAAATGGAGTTGACAAAATGGTTGCATTTCAATTCTGTGCTTGTTGAGGGATAGCATAGCTAGAGAGTCTTTTACAAAAGCTCAGTCAGGACTGGGAATATAGCTCCATGCTTACCTAGTCCCTGGTTCTTCAGTGTGGAGTGGGTGTGTGCAATACTTATTTAAATGTAAGCACCTTTATTGCAGTCTTGTTCATCAGCAGGAGACTAGATTAATCAGTCATGGCATCTCCAAGAAGTAGGATATAACCATTAAAAGACCTTAAATCCATCTCTACAGTGTAGGCATAGAGTCAAATTAAACTATCATTTCTCAATGTATTTAGCCCAGCCACCTTTGTCCAATCTGGTTTTTGCATCTTTTCAAATTTTTTCAACAGAATGTAGAAGTCATGGCATTTTTGTCACAGTTTCTCATCTGGAGTTCAGTTATGATAAAGCTAAACAGACTTAGCACAAACTTTACTTCTGACATCGGGTTTGAGGACGTTCTAGGCTACTCATACTTATGACCACTGATTGTATAGACCCAGGGGCATTTCATGGCTCATTCATGTTCAGCCATTCACTAGATCAGCCCCTAGGTCTCGGGAAACACTATCCAGTTTCACTAAGTGGGGTCCAGACAAATTAAGACTGAGACCAGGTGTACTACACCTTGTATACCCTTTACTATGCAATCAGAGCATTTTGCCCACACAGTGTATTGGTGTTTCTACCAGCTAGTGAGCTCCCAAGTTTTAGCATCCAGAATTTGGGGGACAGGGTGCATATTGCTATATAGTCACTGTGGATTAAACCATTGGTCATGTAGGCTAGCGAGGTAACTCAGAACTTGAGTTCGGTTCCCCCGAATCCATGTTTTGTTTTGTTTTAATTAAAAGCAAAAAAATAAAAGCCAGGCATGGCCTTGCCTACTTGTAATCTCAGCACTGAGGAAGCAGAGACAGGCAAATTTCTGGAGCTCACCGGCATTTTTGGTAAGTTCCAGGACAGAAAGAGACCCTGTTGGAGAAAAGGGAGTTTGGGGCTGAGGAGATGCCAGTGAAGTCCTTGGCACAGTCTGTACTTGTTTTGTGTTTTCAAAGCAAGATTTCTGTGTAGCCCTGGCTGTCCTAGAAGTCTCTCTGTAGACAAGGCTGGCCTCGAGCTCAGAGATCCACCTCCCTCTCTTCCTCTTGGGTGGTGGATCACAGGCTTGTGCCACTCCTATCTGGCAACTGTATCCACATTTTTTAAAAATATTTATCTATTTAGCATGCATGCCTGCACACACACACCAGAAGAGGGCACCAGATCTCATTATAGATGGTTATGAGCTACCATGTGGTTGCTGGGAATTGAACTCAAGGACCTCTGGAAGAGCAGTCAGTACACTTAACCTCTGAGCCATTTCTCCAGCCCATCAATATTTGAATATTTCAATGCATCCACAGCCTGTTTGTTACCCCATCTTTTTTGATTGCTTGTTTTTTCTTTGTTTTTCAAGACAGGGTTTCTCTGTGTAGTCCTGGCTGCCCTGGAGCTTGCTTTGTAGACCGTTGGCTTTGAACTCAGATTCTCCTATATCCCGAGTGCTAAGATTAAAGATGTGTGCCACTGTGTCCAGCATCATCACATTTTTAGAATCCTAAAATTATAGCCTAGGTAGTCTAATGTGGCTTCGTGATATTGCTAATTCATTTCCTACTGTTCTTTATCATTTATTTATCTATAGCCACCCTGGCCTGCAGTGCTGTTCCTTAAACATATCAGGCCTACTTGGGTTCTTTATACTAGCTGTTTTGCTATATTTGTGTTGTTTGTTTTCTGAGACAGGGTGTCCCTATGTATGTATCCCTGGCTGTCCTGGGACTAGCTCTGTAGACTAGGCTGTCCGGACTCAGAGATTCACCTGCCTCTGTCTCCCAAGTGCTAGGATTAAAGGTATACGCTGCCATGACCTGCCCTGTTCTTGCTATATTTAAAAGAAAAAGAGAAAAAGAAAGAAAGAAAGAAAGAAAGAAAGAAAGAAAGAAAGAAAGAAAGAAAGAAAGAAAGAAAGAAAATTATTTCTTAAAGCAATGTCTCACTTAAATATCCCTGGCTGGTCTCAAGCTTGTGTTGATTCTCCTCCTGTGATCCCAAGTGCTGAAATCACAAGTATACACTGTCAAACCCAGATGTGGGAATTGAGACCAGCATGGTCTACATACAGAGTTCCAGGACAGCCAAGAATAAGCAGAGAGACTCTGTCTCAAAACAAAAAGTATAAGGGGAGAAAGTGTAACTCTAAACAAAGAGCTTAGCTTTGAATTCTTTGTGTAGCTTCTGAGATACTTTGTATCCATTTCTGTGTGTGTGAAAACCTTGCCATTTATACTCCTCATATATAAGCAGAATTAGTCCTTTTCCCCTTTCTTTCCCGTTTTAAAATTTTGGTTGGTGGGCTAGAGAGGTGGCTCAGCAATTAAGAACATGTAGTGCTCTTGTAGAGGATACAAGCTCAGGACCACATCTAACCCAACATCCAGGGGAATCAACACCTGACCTCGAGCAGCACATACACCTGAACATAATTTTTTAAAAGTAAAAGGAAGAAACAAAGCACAGAGGGTGCCTTGAATATGTGAAAAGAAAGGTCTTCAGTGGAGAAAAGCTGGAAAGGTTATCAGGGTAATAGACTACAGCATGAGTAGAGGAATCAGGAAGAAGGCCACTTAGAGTATTGTGAGGTCTGTCAAATGTCGCGTCCACCCTCGACCAGCAAGGAAAACGCAACACCCGGAGCTCTTCTTGCAGCAGTTTTCAGGACTTTATTCACAGTAATCTTTCTCCTTCTCTCTTTCCCTCTCTCTCCGGGCAAACCTCTCCCAGCCCTTAAGTAGGCATGGGCTGCCAACCCCGAACTGCCAGGTAGGCACTGCCCATAGGTTCACGCATATGCAGGCAGCTGATAATCATTGCGTGATCATAGCATAGGTCAGGCCTTAGGCATCTCAGAAGCTGATTACACATCTCCATCAGGTGTGACACCACACAGCTCGCTACAGTCAAAGTCTGAGCATAGAAAGATGCTGTTTTCCTGTATCGTTTGATTGTGACTGTGTTTCTCATTGACTTTAAAAGACATGGGCAAAACTGAGAACTTGAATTGCATAAAGTTACGTAGAGAAGAATCTAGATGATTAAGCGAGGCAAAAGGATGTTAGCAATTACAGTAACAGTGAATGTTCACTTGTGATTAAGAGATTCAGGTTGAGAAAACCGAAAAAACATGGTTCTGGGGACAGAAAACTAAAAATCAGGTTCAGACCAGCCTGAAGTGCTGGCTCAGTGGTTCAGAGTACTTGCTCATCTTCCAGAGAACCCAGGTTCAAGTCCTAGCACCAGCACCCTCGTGGTAGTTAACAACCATCCATAAATCCAGTTCTAGGGTGTATGACATCCTTTCTGTCCTCCCTGGGCACCAGTTGCACACATGGTGCACAAATATCTACATGCAGGCAAAACATGCATATACATACAGTTAATCCTAAAAAAAAAAACTTTAAGAATCAAATTCAATGGAAAGAAAACTGTGGTCTTTGAGGAAATTGTTAAGAAGGATGGCTTTCCAGTGATTTGCCATTTTTTTGTAGGGCAAGAAAATGCAGAGCTCATTTATGGGGCCCAGATTGCCCATTGCAGAGTGGACAGTTGACCAGTTCATTTCCACGCAGTTAGGGTTCACTTGAAAGCAATGGTATTATAACATGATTGCTGAGAAAAGTGCCTGCACTTTCATAAAGTACTTACTTAGCCGTGACAAAACAGAAAACTGCTGTGTGAGCACAATGGCCAGGGGGATAGGATGGCCATCCATCATCCTGCTAGTGCCTGGAGGAAGCATCGAGGACAGAGAGCGTAACTTGTTTCTGATTGCTACCAAAGCCAGTAATTAGGCCATGCATTTTTGAAAACATTGAAAATTATTTTGGGGAATTGGATAAAGATTTAAAGTTAGGTTAAATACTAGCACCTCTGTTCCAAACTAGGAACCTTTAATCCCAGCACTCAGGAGGCAGAGGCATGCAGATTGCTTGAGTTTGAAGCCATCCTGGTCTACCTAGTAAGTCCTAGGCCAACCAGAGCTACCTGTCAGCCTCCTTATCAAGCCTTAGTTATCAGCATAGACTTGGGTCTTTAGAGAGGATTGTTGATGCTGTTTAAGATGACTAAATTCTCTTGTTTTTCAATCTTTTCAGGTCTAAAGAGGTAAATAAACGGAGACCCCGAAGTTTACTAGAGAGACTGCGCTGGGTCACCCTGGGGTATCATTATAACTGGGACAGTAAGGTATTTGTTTTATTCATTTCTTTTACATTTCTAGGTTCTTGGGCCCCCGTAGTTGAATTTCTCCTTGAATAAACTTGATATGTCCCTGCCATAGTAAAGGCTGTCGGGAGCATAAATTCAGGGAGTGGCGATGATTTATTGCCTCCTTTTCATATCCCTTGGAGAGCTGGGAGTGGTAGCTCACATCTCTAATCCTACCTCTAAGACAGTTTAGACTATGTAACAAGACTGTCTGAGAAAATTAGGTGAGGAGCTAGAGAGGTGGCCCAATGGTTAAGATAAGAGCGTGTGTTGCTCTTAAAAGGAACCCAGCTTCAATTTCCAGCACCCATATTGTAGCTCATAACTATTCTTCAGTTCCAAGGTATTGATACCCGTCAGTACAGGCAAAACAGTCACCCACATAAATCTTGTTAAAAGCTTTGAGTAACTAATGCATGTAAAGTCTTTACAGCAGTACCACACTGTTCTAAGCAGTAGCTCTCCTAATCCAGAGAAGCCAGTCAGTGCTTTTAATGATATCTTCATTTGCTCTTACTATTTTTACTTTGGTTTGTTTTTGTTTGTTTTGTTTTTGGTTTTTTTAAATATTTATTTATTTATTATGTATACAATATTCTTTCTGTGTGTATGCCTGAAGGCCAGAAGAGGGCACCAGACCATTACAGATGGTTGTGAGCCACCATGTGGTTGCTGGGAATTGAACTCAGGACCTTTGGAAGAGCAGGCAATGCTCTTAACCACTGAGCCATCTCTCCAGCCCCCTGTTTGTTTTTGTTTTTGTTTTGAAACAGGGTTTCACTGTAGCTTTGGAGCCTGTCCTGGAATTAGCTCTTGTAGACAAGGAGGGCCTCGAACTCATAGAGATCTGCCTGCCTCTACTTCCCTAGTGCTGGGATTAAAGGCGTGCATTACCACCACCTGGCTTATTTTTATATACTTCAAAATTATCCTATCTTTACTAAGAAAATGAGAAGTGAAAATTATCCAAAGCCATATGAGTATTCAGAAAAAAACAAAGACAAAAAAAAATGTGGGAAAGGGTTGTTAAATAGAGTAGACCCTTAAAAGGGCTGGGGAGGGGCAAAACTGTAGCAGCAGCCTTGACTTATATATATATTTTGTTATATATATTTGTTTGTTTGTATTATGGATTAAATAGGAAACCAAGGCTATATAGAGATGCCCTATCTCAAACAAACAAAAAAGAATTTTCTTAGATGCTGTTAAATACAAACAAACGAGGTGGCTCAGAGGTTAAGAGCACTGGCTACTCTTCTAGAGGTCCTGAGTTCCAAGTCCGAACCAGCAACCACGTGGTGGCTCTCAACCATCTGTAATGAGATCTAGTGCCCTCTTCTGGCCTTCAGGCAGAACATTGAATATGTAAAAAATAAATCTTTAGGGGGCTGGAGAGATGGCTCAGAGGTTAAGAGCACTGGCTGCTCTTCCAGAGGTCCTGAGTTCAATAAATCTTTAAAAAAAAAAACTTTAAAAAAAAATCTTTAAAAAAAATGAAACGCACATACAAGCAAAGGCTAAAAACAACTTTTTACCAAACAGGGAAAGCCATCCACAGCCCCTAGGGGCACACAGAACAGCAATTTTTTTGCACCAACAGTTGGTTCCACTCTAGCCACTTTTGTGACTTGCTCCAGCTTGCTGTAACAGAACATTAGTGGAATGGTAAAACCAAAAAAAGGGGGGGGGTTCTGGTAAGATTTTAATTTAACTTTACACAGGAAGAAGTGAGAACAAAGAAACATCTTTGCTCTACAAATGTTGATGGCCCAGAAAGCCCCAGCTCCTAGTGGCAGACTTGTCATTTTGGTGGAGCTTGAGTGTTAAGGAAAACAGAAGTAGGCAGTGGTGTCACGTACCTTTAAGCCTAGCTCTAGCAGACAGTTCTCTGAGTTCAAGGCCAGCCTGGTCTACTGAGTAAGTTCCAGGACAGTCGGAGCTGTTAACACAAAGAAATCTGTCTCAAATAAAACTTTAAAAGAAAAAAGAAGGTAAATGACTGAAAAAGGAGGTCCTACTTTTATTATGATTGGACTTAACACAGATGTTTTGAGCATGTCACCCCTTCAGATTGACCAGGCAGATGAGTATCAAGCCAGGTTGCAAGCTGACTGTAGTATTGGATTTCCTTTTAATACAAACAACCTTTAGGAGGAGGACCTCAAAGAACCCCACGCCTCCTGCTGGTCTGTGTGGTTGCTGAGGAGGGAAGAGACATTTTCTTCAGTAGCAGCCACTGGTAATAGGTAGAAACCTTAGTAAGTGCCTGTGTTACTAGTTAGTGAGTAATGGATTTTATGCCACAATTTCCTATGTTTTGAGGTTATTGTTTATTTTTCTTATTTTTTCTACTTTTACCAAAGAAATACTCAGCAGATCATTATACACCTTTTCCTTCTGACCTGGCTTTCCTCTCAGAGCAAGTCGCCGCTGCCTGTGGATTTCAGGGGTTCCAAGCAGAAGCGGGTATCCTGAATTACTACCGCCTTGACTCTACACTGGGAATCCATGTGGACAGATCTGAACTAGATCACTCCAAACCCTTGCTGTCCTTCAGGTAATTTAATTCCAGGGGTTTCAGGTTGCTTGTTTGTTCATTTTTCTAAGACATTTTTAAGCTAAAATTAGTAAAGTTTTATGATAGGAAGTACTATCATTACTGTGTGTAATAAGCAAGTTAGAAGGCCATAAAGCAAATTGAATCAGCCTTTTTTGTTAAGTAGAGCAAGATACAGAGTAAAACACAAAGCCTGAGCAGTTCACCTCTGTCCCTCAAACAGAAGTTTTAGTATATGCAGAATCCATAGAAACTCAACAAGAAAAGGACCGACCTCTCGTTAATTGTTTTAGAAATGAAGAAATTAGAAACATAGTGACTCATGATTTTATTGAAATACTGAAATGTTAAAATGTACATTTTAAAAAACCTAGATAATGTTGAAACTCCATTCTTGCTTTGCACATCGCTGTATTATTTATTTTGTAGCAAGTCTGTGTGCTGTTATAATAATGTTTGGGCAGCAGATCATGGCTTGGTCACTGGGAAACACAAACCAGAATGGTTTAAAGGTGATGGCAGAGCAGGTGGCTGAGTTGGTTAAGTAACTTGCTGCAAGTAACACGCATGAGGAACTCCTCCCCTCCCCCCCCCCATCCCAACATGAAGCAGATCATGTCTGTACTCTAGCTGGGTTTGGTAGGTGGAGAGACAGGCTAAGTGAGAGATCCTGTCTCAAGAACAGTAAGGTGAGGCCTGTGAGATGTCTCCTGAGGTAAAAGCGTGTAATGCAAGCCTACAGCCTAAATTCAGTCTTGGGACCACATGATGAAAGGAGCAAACCAACTCCAGGAGTTACCCTGACTTTTCACACATGCACTGTGACTCAAGCATAGTAAGTTTTAAAGATGGGGTCAGTAAGATGGCTTAGTGGGCAAAAACATTTCCCTAACAAGCCTGATGGCCTGAATTTGATGCTCAGATCCCACAGTAGACGGAGAGAACTTTAAAATGTCCTCTGACCGCCATTTGTGCTCTGTAGCATATCCATACACCGGTTAGATTTATACAGAAATAATAATAAAGTATAAAATTAAAAGATGCCAAGTGAGACCGGTGATTTAGTGGTTAAAATCACTTGCTGCTCTTCTAGATGACTGAGGTTTGGTTCTCAGTAGGTAAATGGTGGCTCACAGACATCAGTAACTCCAATCCTAGCCTATCTGGTTTCCTGTTCTGGCTCTGAAAACACTAGGCACACACGTGTACACATATATGCAAAACACCCATACACATAAATTTGAACAAGTTGGAAGAGCATTTATGGAAGACATCAGCATTAATCTTTGGCCTCCACACAAGTACACACAGATCAAAAATAAGGATCATGAGGTGGCTCAGCAGGCAAAGGTATCTACCCCCAACTCAGAACTGAGTTCAGTCCGTGCCGGTCTGAAGTACAAAAAAATGCAGTTGGCAGTAACTTTCACAAGTATAACTAAATAATAGAAGCTTCTCTCTCTCTTTTTTTTTTTTGTAGCTTTGGACAGTCTGCCATCTTTCTCCTGGGTGGTCTCAAGAGAGATGAGGCCCCTACAGCCATGTTTATGCACAGTGGCGACATCATGGTGATGTCAGGTTTCAGCCGCCTGTTAAATCATGCAGTCCCTCGAGTCCTTCCGCATCCTGATGGGGAATGCCTGCCTCACTGCCTGGAGACACCTCTCCCAGCTGTCCTCCCTAGCGATTCACTGCTTGAACCCTGCTCTGTAGAGGACTGGCAAGTGTGTGCCACCTATTTGAAAACTGCTCGAGTTAATATGACTGTTAGACAGGTACTGGCCACAAACCAGGACTTCCCCTTAGAACCCATGGAGGAGACAAAAAGAGACATTACTGCAGATGGTTTGTGCCATCTGGATGACCAGAGTAGCCCAGTAAAACGGGCGAGGGTAAATTCTGACACTTAAGACTTAAAGGTTAGTTCTGTTGCCAGGCACTCTCGCCCCAAGGCAATCCTCACACAGGGGCAGGGATGAAGTCATCCGTCATGCCGCTGTCTGGATGTGCCTTGGAGAGTAGAATGATTACAGTTTGCTCAGAGAAGTGTTTGAATCCAGCTCAATACAAGCAGGAATGTGTTTGTCATACCTCATAGGTATGATAATGATGCACACGAATTTCTCAGCCTCTGCTGTTACCTCAGGAGGAAGAAGTGAGATCGTATGTCTATGGTGTGTCACTACCTCAGAGCTTATTAAGAGGAAATAGTATCTTCCTCTCAGCATTATATAATTTGTGAACCAGCAACCAGAATTCCTAACTCCTAGTTGTCATCAAATACTTTGAGATCTTCACTCTTCTCTGCCCTCAGAGAAGAATCTTATGCACATGAAGACAGTGGAATTAGAGTGTCCCTCAGGAGCTGGTGTTGTCTCTTGATTGGTAGAGCACATGTCTACCATGCATGTGTCCTGGGTTCACTACCCTGTACCACATGAATCCGGTGTGGTGTGGCCTACCCCAGCGCTCCAAGGGTGGAAGATCTGAAGTTCAAAGACATCTTCAGCTACATACATAACAAATTCAAAGGCCAGCCTGAGCTACATGATACACAGACACAAAGTGCCCCCACCCCCGAAGAAGTTAGAGTTAAATACGTGTAAAACAAAGGAAAAGAGAAAGTAGTCTCTGTCTTTTAGAACTCCAAACTCTGGTGGCTTTTTAATTGGCTTTAATGGACTAAAAGTCTCTAGAGTATTTTGTTAGCTGTTTTCTCCATGAATAAACACTCCCATCTTAAACTAAAGATCTGTATCTCTTTGAGAGTGTATCAGGGATACACTTTTTCTTTATTTGCTGTATTGATGCTGTTGAAGCCTCTGGCTGTTTCTCTCCTAAGTATTGTGGCTGTCAGAACATTCTGTGAAAGTCCAGTCACTGCCATAGTTTTTGGTGTCAGATTTAATGTCATGGGGCGGGGGGGTAATAGGGGAGTTAGGTGCGCCTGTCTGTAAACTGGGTATGCCTATTAGTGTGGGAGACTGAGGCTATCTGGAAGCCCTGCCACGGCCTGTGATTTGCTTAATTTCTACCTTTCTCTGCCCTCTATTAATCTGCACTTAGTTATTGAGTTCATAGATACTGCATTTTTTGTCAGGGGCAAAAATTAAATACAAATCACTTACATAAGCTGGGTTCTAAAAATTGGTGCATGGTAGGAAATTTTTAAGTAACATCCCTGGGAAATTTTCCTTGTTTTCTTTGATGTACCTTAAATGACCCACCTGAAACCAACAAGCTGTCATTTGGTAAAACCAACAGAAAGTTTATCCTTTTCTAAGAGAGACTGTTAGAGTATCAGATAAAGGCATTGGCCTGTTTTTAGGAGCAAGTGGAAATAGGCTAGCCAAGGAAAGAGACCTGACTCCATCCCAAGCTCCTCTAAGAGCTCCTCTAGGAAGCTTGCAAGTTACAGGCCATGCAGCCCAGCTCAGTTCATTTCTGTCTACAAGCCGCTGTAAATGGCTGAGAGATGTGGGGAGGGAAACATAAACATGCTGACACATGAATCTTGTATGAAGCTCCTGCATCAGAATTAACTTCTTGAGGGGTAGCTGAAGAGAGGACCCGGAAGAGCACTTTTTTTTTTTTGGTTTTTCAAGGCAGGGTTTCTCTGTAGCTTTGGTGCCTGTCCTGGAACTAGCTCTTGTAGACCTGGCTGGCCTCGAACTCAGAGATCCACCTGCCTCTGCCTCCCGAGTTGCTGGGATTAAAGGCGTGCGCCACCACCGCTCAGCAAGAGCACTTGCTTTTGTGGAGGACCCAAGTTCAGTTCCAGGAGATCCTGGATTCTTGTATCCTCTGGTCCCTAGGCCCACATGTGACATACACAGCAAAACGGGCAAACACGTTTTGTTGTTAAAGACTTTCAGAATGAGTCTCTAAGTTAAATGATTGTATGAGAGAGTGCAAGGTTAGAAAGTTGCAGAACCTAAAGGATAGGATGAATCTGCACCTTGACAGAGCAAGTCTAACCTAAGAAACTACATCTGAAGAAAGGAACCCAGAAACAAGCCTGACACCAAGGAACGAGCCTTTTGGTTTTTTTTGAAACCAGGGTTTCTCTGAAGCTTTGGAACCTGTCCTGGCCCTAGCTCTTGTAGACCAGGTGACCTTGAACTCACAGAGATCCACCTGCCTCTCTCCCCAGTGCTGGGATTAAAGGTGTGTGCCGCCACTGCCCAGCGGGAAGTACTGTTTTTAAGTACTTCATCACTTATCAAAGGATAAAATTAAAATGTAGCATATATATAATTGATGGTATCAGTGCCTGGATAGTAGAACTAGAGGAACTGGCACCCATAATGCTCTCTGCTGGTGAGGGTGTTTGCATTATGGGACATAGTCATAGACTATCTCTGTTTAGGAAATACATGACTTCTAAGTGTTTTTTTCAGTGATGTGTCCTTGGGCCCAATAAATTTTACTTCTGGGAACTGAGTCTACAGAAGTCATCAGAGCCATTCAGGAAGGCTTTTGTACAAGAATTTTATCAGAGTGAAGATTGGAAACAAGCCACATGTCTAGCAGCAGGAAGTGGCTGGTTCAGAAAGTCCTGTGACTAGACAAATCACAGTTCCCTTCCTGGAACTACTATCTAAAACCAGTTGCCTTTTCAAGGGCAGTAGGAAAATGGGCAACTATATTTAAGAGAAAGTCTGATTAACTATACAGAGTAATATTTTTTTACAGAATGTTACATATTTAAATTTTGTTTGGTGTTTTGCCTCTGTGTATTCCTGATGTACCTGTTTACATATTTATTTACATTGAAAATCTTAAAATTCATTCCTCTTTTTAAAAAAATAAATTATTTATTTATTGGTTTTTTGAGATGGGGTTTTTCTCGCTTTGGAGCCTGTCCTGGAACTCACGCTGTAGACCAGGCTGATCTCAGATTCAGAGATCTACCTGTCTCTGCCTCCTGAGTCCTGGGATTAAAGGTGTACTGCCACCACCTGGCAAAAGCTTTATTCTTTTAAAAGGTGGTAATTTAATTTTACTTATGTGGGTGGGTGTTTTCCCTGTGTATATGTCTATACACCACTTACTCTTCTGGTGCCTGGGTGATAGAGTTCCAGGAATTGGAGTTAGAGATGTTTGTGAGCCACCGTGTGGGTGCTAGGAATCAAACTGACCCTCTGGAAGAGCATTAATATACACTTAACTAATGAGCCATCTCCCCAACCTTAGAAGCCCAACTCTCAAACCTGGCAGTTCTACCTCAGTCGAAATTTAGAATGCAAATCTAGGAACGGCAGCAGCACTGTAGTAAAAAAGACTTGCTCAATGTAATTACGTTTAAAAGTACCAGGTATCATGCTAAGCACCTTTTCAATCCATTGGTCGGGAAGCAAAGGCAGGCGTTCTACATAGTGAATTCCAGGACAGCCAGAGCTGCCACTTAGTAAGCTGTCTCAAAAAAAAAAAAAAAACTCGAAAAGTACCAGTGTCTTTGTGGGGAATACTTTGCAGTTGGGAAAAATGCCTAAAATGTTAAGTGATGAAAACATGCTGTGTACTCTGCTTTAGAGGACTTTTTAAGGGCCGGAGAGATGACTCAGCATTTGAGAAAGCGCTGGCAGCTCAAGGGTTCAGTTCCCAGCACCCACATAGCCACTCACAATCTTCCGCAGCTCCTGATCCAAGGGATTCAACACTTTGGGTTCCTGAGGGCACTGGCCATTCATGAGACATAGGTGCAGGCAAAGCACTCATACACAAGCTGGGTGGTGGTGGCACACACCTTTAATCCCAGAGCTTGGGAGGCAGGGGCATGTGGATCTCAGGTCTATAGAGTGAGTTCCAGGGCTACACAGAGACACCCGGTCTCAAAAAAAAAATATTTTAAGTGGACATATGCATAGGAAAGGCATATATTCTCTTTTTGTAGCCGCATAGATTGCAATGTGGATGGCCTTTATGAAGGGAGTTGTTTGAAGGAGTTGGGTGAGGCATATGCTAAGCTCAGCACCAACAGGTTTGTGAAAGCTCACACTCAGGTGTCCTTCCTAATGTCTTCCCTGCTCATTCTGACAGCCTCTCTCTGAGTCTTGGGATCTTACACAAAAATCTCGCTGGGCAGCACTGGTTATTACCCAGTTCCTAGAAATGAAGCTTACGTTGTGGATCTGCTTCTGAAAACAGTCAGGAAGGCCACATGATTAGCTGGATCCTGTATGCTTTCTGCCTGTTTCAGTAGAGCCCCTGTCTAGTGCCATGTTCAGCCCATGTCTGGTTTTCCCTAGAAGGGTCCCAGGGCCTTTGTGAGACACAAATGTATTGCTAAATCAGGCAGACTCAGCAAGGTTTAGCTTTCCCATGTTCCAATTTTCTGAGTTCCTTTTTCACTAAAATAAGCTGGTTTTATCCCTTTTCCCCTAATCTCAAGGCTGTTTATTAGAGTTGGAAGAAGAAAAGCCTAGGTGGATTCACCTGAGGCATATTCGAATGCTAATGAGGCCCGAGAGCCTTGGGACTGTCTACTGATAGCAGGCCCAGAGGCTGAGGAGCTGGGCAGGAAAAAGCCCTGGTCAGCTTCCCAGGGTACAGGGGGGAAGATCAATGAAGGTCCAGCTTACCTAGCCGGCTGATGCATTGTTATTGATTCTCCTTTTGATCAACTACCTGTCCAAACTTGAGCTCCCCTGTAGATGAGTTTATTGCCTCTCAGTTGGTTTCACTGGTAAGTCAGAGTTCTTAAGGAAATAAGATGAATAAGAAGGTAAAATGCAACAGCTAAATTTTAGCAACAGTTCCAATGCTTAACTTAAGAGAGTTGGTCCTCCAATGAGGGCTACTGAGAACTCAAGAACAATGGCAATGGGTTTTTGATCCTACTGCACGTACTGGCTTTGGGGGAACCTAGGCAGTTTGGATGCTCACCTTACTAGACCTGGATGGAGGTGGGTGGTCCTTGGACTTCCCACAGGACAAGGAACCCTGATTGCTCTTTGGGCTGAAGAGGAAGGGGGACTTGATTGGGGGAGGGGGAGGGAAATGGGAGGCAGTGGCGGGGAGGAGGCAGAAATCTTTAATAAATTAATTTAAAAAAAAAAGTTGGTCCTCTTCACCATATGGATGTGGGGTCAGCAGGTTTGCCGGGAGCGTTTAGCTCACTGAGCCATCTATACCTTGCTCTTTTATCCTGTATCTAATCCCCAGAAACTCTAGCTTTAAGGTTTCAGAATCTTCATTGTTACTTCCCTGACCCAGGCCACTGCCACCTCAGCTAGATTCTTGCAATAGCAGCCTGGTTGGCTCTTCCTTCCCTTCATGACGCTTCTCCCTGAGTCCAAGGCAGAATGTCACCTACAAACCCTTCTCCTGCTGGCCCCTCGATTCTGTTGGCTTTTCGCTCCCAGCCACTTACACCTCATTCTTCCTCTGGTCGTTCTGTATTCTGCATAGGTAACTAAATAATACACACACTAAATAAATACATGTGAAATATAAATAATTATTATTTTCCTCCTCTAAACTATCAGTGCCACAAGACAGATAGGTGCTCTGTGTTTAGAACAATGCCAGGCACATACCTGTTCAGTGTTGGCATGGATATGTGGGAAGGCAGTGTTCCACTGCTGTGGCGAATGTAAGTTGGTAGCCAGTTGTCAGTGTTGACATAAACTTTAATCCAGCAATTTTCAGTCTCTTTCCTCTAGACCCTTCATGTGGGTACATAATGTGTAAAAATATAATGAAAAACTGGTAACTACCCAGAAGTTGGTACCAAGCAGGCTAATAGAGTATGGGACATCCACACTATAGAGCATTAACGTTGAGTGGACATGGTGGCCCGCATCTGGAACCCCAGCACTACGGAGGCATAAGCAGAAGGGTGGAAAGTTGGAGGCCAGTCTGCTTCCAGACCATCTGGGGCTACAAAGCAAGAACCTGTCTCAAAAAAAAAAAAAAAAAAAAAACTAAAAAAGAAAGATGGTGATGGTACACACCTTTAATCCTAGCACTCAAGAGGCAGAGGCAGGCAGATCTCTGAGTTCGAGGCCAGCCTGGTCTACAGAGCAAGTTCCAGGACAGCCAGGGCTACACAGAGAAACCCTGTCTTGGGAAAAATAAAAACCAAAGACTATGTGTCATGTCCTCCTGTTGTAAATATGTCTGGGGATTTCCATCCAAATGTAGGGTTAGAGAGGAGACATTGGGAGGTGGTAGAAGGCACCACTATACAATTTTGTGTTCTCTGATTTTTTTTTATAAAAATACATTCATATATTACCTATGTGAATTTTTAATTACACATAGCAAACCTTATGAAGAATGCTGTGCAGAGGTTCGGGCACGGTGGCTCACACCTGTGATCTCAACATTCTAGAGACTGAAGCTAAAGTGGCAAATAACAAAGCCAGTCTTGGCTACATAGTAAGACCTGTCAAAACAAACAGAACCCCCCCATATTCAGTAGTAAGAGTGAAAATGAGGTTTGCCTTTCTCCAACTCCGTCTACCCTGATTCCGTGTATAAATGAGATCTGGTATTGAGCCATCTGTTGGCAAACATCTACAGCAGACTAGTTCTGGCTCCTTTGCCAAGCTGACTGGAGAATCTGGTCCCACCTATCCCAACCAGAGAACCAGCCTCTTGTTTTGTGTAGCCCAAGTTCAAGCACCTTGCTGTGCCCACCAGCCTTGGTCTGCCTCACTCACGCAAGTACCAATCCTGGGCTTGCTTGCTAAGGCAACAAATGAGTCACATTGGAGGGTGAGCCATTTTGTAAGGCCCTGGTACTACCCTGAAAAGGAGTACTGTATTCTGGGGGCATACCTGTGCAGACAGCAATGACGGCCGCAGAGCCCTAAGATTTTGCATCTCTGTGCACCCCGTGTTGGCAGAAGGGAGGAGAGGTAAGCTCTCTACTGTTTGGACACACCAGGAGGTTTTGTCCAGATGCTGACTACACTGTGTGTCTCTTGGGTTCTCACTGTAGCTCTGTGACCATGCGCTTCCATGTGCCCCATCAGTTGTCCCTTCTGAGGGCCCTGGAGATTGGACCATGGGCGCTGCTTCTTCAATTTTAGAGATACGCAGCAGATGAGACCCAGATTCAGCCGTGGAGAAAGCGTGCACAGTCCTGCTCCTGTCTCTCAAGCCAGTCATGTTCTAGCTGAGCCATTAACCACCCGTTCCTGGATCAAGCAGGGTCTTAACGTGAAAGAGCTATCTAAGGATATAAAATAAAACAGGAGTTGTTGCTCATCAGACTAACAGTCCTGGTGTTTATTATTCTGGCAACTACTGAGCATCGGTGAAGGGGTCATTGTATCACGTGATTGTTGGCAGGCATCTCATAGGGATGGTCTCTTAGGGAGTGGAGAAAACGCCTGCATGACCGTAAGGATATGATAATGGACCAGGCATAGGGTGCAATTCAAAAGACCTTTAACCCAGAGCTGAAGGCCCGCCTTCCTGGAGCAAATGATGTAAAAGCTGACAGCAAGCAAAACTTGGTTTCACCCCGCTATTATTTGGGTCAAAGGGCAGTTATTATCTCAACTGTTTCATCCCTCTTGAGAAAACAAAAGCACCTGACAACATTTATGGACACATAGAACATTGATGTACCGATTAGGCTTACATGACTCATGTTCTGAGAATCATTTGTTGGGTTCATAGCCCGCAGCGCTATCTGTTCCGACAGCTTCTATTCCCCCATTGTTTGTGTCCTCCGGAGAATAAACTCCCCAAAGGCACCCTCATTTGGATCTGCTTCGCTGACATCTAAAACAGTGTTCAGCACATAGTAGCTGCTCAACAAAATGCCATTAAGTGACAGAAACGTCCTTGGTCATAGTCTTGCCTTGACATT